GTGGAGCTTATATTCTAATAAGACCAGTAAACAATTTGAATAAGTGAAATATATAGTGTGTTAGATGGTGATAAATGATAGGGAGAGAGAAAAAAAAGATATGGGTTATAAAGATTATTGGGAGAAGGTTACAGTTTTTAAAAAGGAAGGAAGCTTCATCGAATTGACATTTGAGGACCCAAAGGAAGTAGTGTGAATGTGGATACCAGCAGATGGAAGGGGGGTGATGGTTTGAGAGACATAGGAGGTAGAAACAACAGGACTTGGAGGTGATCAAAAGGATGATAGGAGTGAGGAAGAAGGAAAAGTCAAAAAGATTTTTATTAAGAGTGACACAGAGCCCCTATAGACATCTGCATAGGTGCCGCACTGCACAAGCTGCCCAAGTGCACATGGCAGCCCTGGGTGTCTGTGGATGGTGATGCTGTTTAGCAAGACAAAAGCCAAAGTTCAGCCTGCACTTTTCCCCTTGTAGTTAGTTGTGTGGCAGTCTGTCTCCCCAGTTAGGTTGTAAGCTTCCTTAGATGATGATTAGATTATATCTTGATATCTCCACATTGGTCAAGCCAAGTACTGAGCACATTCTAGGTGCTCAGTAAATATAACTCTTGGGGGGTGCTTTCCAGAGCCTCCACCCACCCACACCAGCGTGTGGCCTTTCTGGAGCCCCTAACACCACCTCAGTGGCTGCCTTTCCTAATGGATGCCAGGAAGTTGGCCACTCCATAGTGGGAAATGGACATTGTCCATTGGTCACCAATGGACATTGTCCAGTATGGCCCATCCAGAAAGGGCATCTCTTATGCAGGCTGTGGGGCAGTGACTGGGAAATGTTGGCTTTAGCCCCCCCACCCCCCTTTTTCTCTCAGAGCTCAGTGTGCCTCTTGCAGTGCCCTACTTGGATGAGCCCCCCACTCCACTTCACTTCTACCGGGACTGGGTCTGCCCCAACAGGCCCTGCATCATCCGCAACGCCTTGCAGCACTGGCCGGCCCTCCAGAAGTGGTCATTCCCCTACCTCAGGTGGGGGCTGCCCTGATGGGATGTGGGTGGTGCTTTGTGGCATCTGGGCATGGGCTGAATGTCCATTCCTCCAGAGCCACAGTGGGCTCCACGGAGGTGAGTGTGGCCGTAACCCCGGATGGTTATGCGGATGCTGTGCGAGGGGACCGCTTTGTGATGCCCGCTGAACGCCACCTGCCCCTGAGCCGTGTGCTGGATGTGCTGGAGGGCCGAGCTCAACACCCAGGAGTCCTCTATGTGCAGAAGCAGTGCTCTAATCTGCCCATCGAGCTGCCCCAGCTGCTGCCTGATCTGGAGCCCCACGTGCCCTGGGCCTCTGAGGCACTGGGTAAGTGGAGGCTGGCGCCCTGCTTCCTGCTTCTCTCTCTTTGATGATGACTTGGCCCCATGGGATCAGGGTCAGGTGCTGTGCACTAAACACTCAAACCCCTAGGCCTTGACTTCACATGGATGAACTACCGAAGATTGCTGACCTTCTTTCTGCTCCAGGGGAGGGAAGCCCCTCCCCAGGTGGCCCACCTCTACCCTTTTCCCCTGCTCTCTCTGTGCAACCCCTCTGCTCCCCACTCAGGTTCTGGCCCAGCATCACTGTATGGGGTTAACCCCAGCCTGGCCTTTGGGGCACCCTTTCTTAACTTAACATTTTTCCTCTGACTCACAGGAAAGATGCCTGATGCTGTGAACTTCTGGCTGGGGGAGGCAGCTGCAGTGACATCTTGTAGGTACCAGGTGGGGGAGGAAGCCAAGAGTGGAAGGTGGGGCCTGGACGGAAGTTAGACTGTCTGTTTTCTAAGATTTCTTTCGGGATTCTGGGCTCGGGCACAATAGAGGGCCTCTCTTGATAGCTCAGGCTGGGGTAGGTACCTGTGGCATTGGGGGTGGCGGGCACTGTTTTCTTCTAGGTTTCTAGAAAACTCTCCGAAGGTCAGCTAGATCAGCTAGGAGAGCTCTCTTTGCTTGAATTTCCCTCTTGGTGGAGATGAGCTTAGAGCCTGCGAATGTCAAGTTCCTGGTGGTCAGAGATTGGAAATGCCTGAATACCCGCCAGACACCTCCATATCCCCACAAGCCTGCTGTGACGTTGCATGCTCTTGTCTTACACCTTAATCTGTCATGGGGTACAAGACCCCCAAGCACAATCATTTGCCCCCTCCTGTGCCCTGCCCCTCACATCCCTGCCCACTGGGCCTTCTTTGTATTGCCAGTGCATAAAGACCACTATGAGAACCTCTACTGTGTGATCTCAGGAGAGAAACACTTCCTGCTACATCCACCCAGCGACCGGCCTTTTATCCCCTATGGTAGGGATGTAGCCTTCAGGGGCTCTGGGAAGCAGGTGGCCCAAGGTAGAGGGAAGGCAGTGAGTGCCTTGGGCAGGGCTGGTGCCCCAGGCCTGAGCTGTGGACACAGTGTCTCCACTGTACTAGGACTCCTGACCCTCTCTTGCTCCTGTAACCGGGGAACAAGTAAATGAGAGTGGCTGGCAAGCCGCAGGCCATTTGTGGGTCCCTATACCTTTCTCCCTCTGGTTTCAGAGTTGTACATACCAGCAACTTATCAGCTGACGGAAGAGGGCTCCTTTAAAATGGTGGATGAAGAGGCCATGGAGAAGGTGTCTGTCTGTCTTGTTCCTGGGCCCCAGGGAGAGGGAAGGATAGGAATCTGGGCTCTGAGGAGCAGGTATGAAAGAGCTGGGGATGTGCCACCTGAAACATGCCTAAGTCTGGGGCCTACCAGTGCTTTGCAGGGCAAGGCCTGTGTTGAGAGGAGTTGGGGAGCCCAAAGACTTTGGTCCTATTCCCTGGCATCCCCTGTGTCCTCAGGTGCCCTGGATTCCACTGGACCCCCTGGCTCCAGATCTGGCCCGGTACCCCAGTTACAGTCAGGCCCAGGCACTTCGCTGCACAGTGCAGGCTGGTGAGATGCTCTACCTGCCAGCCCTGTGGTTTCACCATGTCCAGCAGTCCCATGGTTGCATTGCTGGTAAGGAGCTGCCCTGTCACCCGGGCAGGTCCAGTAGGGCATCTGGTGGTGGGTTGGGGAGGCTGTGGGTTAGAGGGGGGCCCCTCATGCTCTGGTATCCATTCTTCCTACAGTGAATTTTTGGTATGACATGGAGTATGACCTCAAGTACAGCTACTTCCAGCTGCTTGACTCCCTCACTAAGGCCTCAGGTCTCTACTGATGGAGCCCTGGTGACCATTGCTGCGGACAACTCGTGGAAAATGTCATATCCCTTCTGGGCCAGGTCAATCCTAAAAGCAACCTGAAGTCAGAGTGTGCTGGCTGCTGACCCGGCTCAGCTTCGGATAATCTCTGGAGGCAGTCTGGAAGACCAGGAGACGCCAGGCAGGTCTGGGTGTGGGCTCCCAGGAAGTTGCCACACTGGAGGAAGAATGGGGTTCCAGGTGTAGCACCGCCTCTAACCTCTGTGACCTTGGGCAAGTTACTGTCTCGGAGCATTGGTATCTTGTCTGTAAAGCAGAGATAATGATGGTTCCTACCTCACGGTGTGGTGAGGCTTGGAGATGGTATCTGTAAGGATAGCATGGGACTGGTACAGAAGAAGTGTTTAATAAAAGATAGCTGTGATTTGTGTGTACTGAGATTCCCTCTCGTAGTTGCCTCCTGTGGTCTGGTGAGGACTGAAAATTTCAGGTGAAAGGTTCAGGTGGAAATTTCAGGGTGACTCAGATTGGAGGAGGTGAGGGCTGGGTCCAGGCCTGGGCCTGAGGAGCTCTCTGCTGCCAAGACGCCTCTGTCCATGACAGCCATTGCAACCCCTCTCAGGGCAAGCAGGCTGACCCCTTCCAAAGCTTTGCTTTGGCTTTGTTGGCTACCCTCCTGCTCCAGGGCAGCTGGTAGGGTGCCCTGAGGAACATCTTGTTTCTCCCACAACAAGCACAGGAGGGGAGAGAAGCCCCTGCCCCTCTTGAGACTGTTCCCCTGTGGAAGGAGTGGGTCTCCACACTCAGACTCCTCCTCTCCCTCTACCAACCCAGCTCTGGAGGTCGAAGAGCCCCCTATCCTGAGTGCCAACCCAGAGGCTCCATCCCTGGCCACCCAGCTCCAAGGGTGGAGGCAGCCAGCTTTGAAGGGCTGTTTCCTAGAACAAACCACACCCCTGCCAGGTGATGATGGGGCCTAGGGCACTCCTCTCAGATTGGCCAAGTGCTTCAGTCAAGACTCGGTATTCCTGTCATACTGGCATTGGAAGGTTGTGAAAGGCCCTGCCACAGGGGACATTACTCCTCTGGGCCCACCCCCTGCTTTCCAGACTTCAGTGGCTCCTCCAGGCCCCACTTTCCAGTCTTCCTGCTCAGCCTCTGAAAGTGAGCTCTCCTGGGGGCCCCTTCTCTAGGTTGGGGCTGGGTGGGGTAGGCACAGATGTTGATGGCTGGAGATAGTGGGTATTTGGGTGTATCAAGCCCCCACTACAGGGGTGTCAGTGGCTCTACGTAGGTTTTAGGTGCCTCATTTCCTGGATAGCTGTCTGATCCAGGAGTGAGTGTGAGTCTTGGGTGGAGTAGAGGTGGTTGGGAGGGACCTGGGAGGAGCTTGGAGCCAGCTGGGACATTCCTGGCTCTGGATTAAAAAGCCGACAGTCCTCCGTCTAGGGCCACTGCCTGTCATCATCTCTGGTTCCCAAGGACTCTCGGCTTCATGGCTCTGGTAAGACAGGTAGGGAACTGGGTCCCCACTCTGACCTGTGGTCCCCCTGGGGCCTGGTCAGTACTATTTCTTTGGGGAACCGTGGGCTTCTTGGTGAACTGGAGCCAGGGAAGAATCAGGGTCTTGATGAGGGACGGTCCTGAGTTCCTCCCGTAGGGACAGGTTCCAGGCAGAGCTCCCTGGCATCATGGGCCCCAGGAGGAAGTGGCTGCCCCAGCGCTCCTGACTCAGTTGTTTGGGGTGTGGGTGCCCCATGGCTGACACTGATAAATGAGCTTCCCCAGCTCTACCCCTGGACTCCATCCATCTGGGCCCTTCGCGAGGCAGGGCTGAAGGCCCAAAGGAAGCATTGGTTGGTACAGGACCCCTGCCTTGGCAACCTGCCAGGGTCCACATCCCCAGACCCAGGGTCGTGGGTTTGGATAGATCTGCCTGGGGGCCATTGTTACCCTCACCTCGTAGGACCTGAAAGACTTGACAACCCATGGGTGGTCTGAGCTGGTAACTGCTGTCTCTACCCTAGCAGAGAGTCCATTTCCAGAATTGTCCTCTGGCCAGGAATGGAGAGTATGGGGCGCAGCTCAACCAGGGAGCCCAAGGCCAGGCTGGGCCCTGTTGTGCTTCTTTCCTGGCACCCCACCACCCAAGACCAGTCTTAAGTCTGCTTAAGCAAGGGTGAGCCAAGAGTGTGAGTGGAAAGACTAAAGAGGAGACTACACTAGGATCTGGAAGCACTTTACTGTGGGGATTGAGAGCGTAAGTCTGGAGCTAGCCTGGCCCAATCCTGGCCCCTGATCTTGAGCAAGTGACTGACTACCTAGTCTTTCTGCCTCAGTTAACTCATAAGAATGATCATAAGTAGTCTATGCATAGAGTGGTTGTGTGATTAAATGAGTTAATATTCGTGAAGACCTTGGACCAGAGTTGGTTCAGAGCATTGTATAACTGCTGGCAGGAATCATCAGCAGGTACCATTTCCTTCTTTCCGTTCAGACCTGTAGCTGGGCAAGGCTGGGCTTTTTGGATCAGGGTTAGGCCTCGAGGGTTGCCTCAGCCTCCCCTTTGGCCCTTGTCTCCTTGGGCCCATTTTCCTTCAGAAGCCTGTCCCTCTCTCTGCAGGCAAAGGTGCCTGGGACCTGCCTGCTCACCGTTCGTGTCCTGCAGGCCCGTGGCCTGCCCTCCAAGGACTTAGGTGAGTGCTGGGTCCAGGGAGGGCAACAGTTCTGCAGCTGCATAAAGAGTGGAGTAGGGGCAGTGGGAAGAGACGTGAGTAGGACTGGGCATGCAGGGGGGTCCTGGAGAGGGTGCCGAGAGGAAGTACTGGGTAGAAGGTCATGGTCAAGCTCTACCTCTGCCCTTCCTGTCTCCTGATCCAGCCCCATTTCTTGGGTCTCCAGGTCTCCCAGGGCTGCCTGTGATGGAAGGACACAGATTGTAGTGATTGGACTGGGAAGGGCTGTTGGCAATCACTGGGTGCTCATTCCTCCTTCCCACAGTGACCCCCTCTGACTGCTATGTGACTCTGTGGCTGCCCACGGCCTCCAGCTGCAGGCTGCAGACACGCACAGTTAGGAACAGCAGAAACCCCATCTGGAATCAGAGCTTTCGCTTCCGAATCCACAGCCTGCTCAAGGTGAGCCAGGTGTCAGCCCCAGCTCTGCTCACTCTCTGTGTCCACTGCCACTGTCACCTCCGAGCCCCTCATTCTCTGCCCTTGTGCTTCTCACCTTCCTATTCCACCCCTCCTTCCTGCACTCTGTTCCCCTTCCAGAATATCCTACAACTGCAAGTCTTTGACCAGGACCTTTTGACCAGTGATGACCCCGTGTTGTCGGTGCTGTTTGATGTAGGAACTTTGAGAGTTGGGGAGTTCCGCAGTGAGAGCTTCACCCTAAGCCCTCAGGCAAGGCTGCATGGAGGGCTGGGGAGGGCTCTGCCCTGCGGAGGGGAGGTACTTGGGAGGATGGCTGAGCGCTTGTGGCCCTCTTCTCCAGTGGGTGGTCCAGGCTTCCCTGGCATCTCAGCGGCTTCTTTCAGCCATAGCTACTGTCCCGAGGAGCAGTCCCATCCCCATCCCTCTTTCTTGGCCCCTAAACCAAGGGCAGCTCTCTTGGAGTCATCCACAGGTGGAGAACAGAGCCACCTGGAGATGGACAATGGGTCTCTCACAGCTGGGGCTCAGGTCTATGGTTTGGAATTCACATATGCAGTCCACCTGGAGATGGACAATGGGTCTCTCACAGCTGAGGCTCAGGCCTATGGTTTGGAATTCACATACTGCAGGAGCACTCCCTCCCTTCCTTCCTCCCTCCCTCCCTCCCTCCCTCCCTCCCTCTCTCTCTCTCTCACACATTCCTAGCCCTTTCTAACTTGCTTTTTCTCTCTCTAGGGTGAGCAGCAGCTGGAAGTTGAATTTCGGCTGCAGAATCTGTGAGTCGGGCCATGGGGCTGTTTGGGGTGGGAGTGCTTTCTTCGGGAAGGACAGGGCCCAGCACACCCAGAGCCGGCTCCCTTCCTTGGGAGACATCCAGTGGTGGAGGAGGAATGCCCAGGCCTCCTTGGGGGGTGAGCCCCTGGAAACCTGGACTCCTGCTGAGGGTCACTGGGCTCTTTCCAGAACAGACCGTGCTGAGCAGCTCTTCAGCAATGGCATCCTGGTGGTGAGTCTGGAACCCCTCCCTCAGGCCATCTGCTCGCCCCCCGCCCTCCTCCCCAAGTTTCAGGTTCACCACAGGGGTCGGGGGCAGAGCCCAGTTGGGGAACCCTGGGATTTCAGTTCCTCAAGAAGATACATGCTCAAGTAAATGTTTTGTGACTTGGGACAATAAAAGTGCTGAGGAGCAAGAACCAGGGTGCTGGGAGGGTGGGGGCCTCTAACAGAGAAAGAGTGCGACTCTGAGGGCCTGTCTTAATGACTCAGGCCCGGGAGCTTTCCTGCTTGCACGTTCGACTGGAGGAGGCAGGGGACCAGCAGGGTGAGTCCCTGACCGCTGGGGTAGCCCCCAGCCTTTGTCTTCCCCTTTCTAAGAGAACTTTGTACTATCTACCTTCAGCTCTCAGGCAGGAGCAGGGGTTGGGGTGGTGGGGTGGTGAGTCCATACTGAGGCTTTTTCCCTTAGTGCTCAGCGGGGCTGTGGTGGGAGCTTCATCTCCCAGCCTTGGCCTGGCCAGATGTCCATCTTGGTGCGAGGAGGGAGGTGCCCCCCAGGTCCCTTAGGCAAGGTGAGGGCCTCTGTGGGTGGGGATCCTATTCCCAGCCTCTCTGCCTGGTTACTGTTTCTAGGCTCAGAAGGCAAAGTTCGCCTTGTGGTCCCTGGGTCCTGTGAGGGTCCTCAGGAAGCCACAGTGGGCGCTGGCTCCTTCCGCTTCCACTGCCCAGGCTGCTGGGAGCCGGAGCTGAGTGTTCATTTGCAGGTAGTGTGCCTTTTGATCTGTGAGGCGGGCGGGCCCTGGAGCCTTATCCCCTCCTTCCCTCAGCACCTGCTGCCAGCCTGTCTCTCTCCTCACCCTGAGCCCCTCAACCCACCCTTTATTCCCTGGCAGAGTCAGGCACCCTGGGAAGATTGTGGGGCTGATGTCAGCCTCCTGTCCCCTTTCCTGCTGTTGCTTTGTCACTCCCGGGGCAATTGCTGAAGTTCTTGCTGGGATGGAATGGTAGAGATTCTTAGTTCTTTCATTCTCCCTGCAGGATGCCTCCCAGGAGCAACTGAAGGTACCCCTCAGGGCTCTGCCCTCTGGTCAAGTGGTTAGGCTCGTCTTCCCTATGTCCCAGGTACTTGCCACTGGAGGAGGAAAGCCAGATGCATGGGCAGGGCTGGGCCCCAGGCCTTGAAGGGATAGCCTGCTTCTGTAGCTGCTTCTGTGCTCGGGCCATGCCCTGGCAATTGCTGGACCAGGCTCTGGGAAGAGTGGTTCTCTGAACATTTTTGCTTTTAGGCCTCAGGCCTGGCCTGTGGAGATGGCTGAGGGCCCAAGGGAGCATGGGGACATTGTGGGGTATGGCTTGGGCTGGAATGAGAGGAACCCAGTGGCCAACTTTTGTGACTGTAGATTTCATGGTTTTCAGGAGCCCCTGATGAGGGTGGAGCTGAAAAAAGAAGAAGGGTAAGAGGCCGGGCTGGGCCCTGGGAAAGGTCACGGGGGACAGCAGCCAGGGACAGGTGACCAATGAATGGTCAGGCATTTGGCCTGGAAGAGTGAGGGGAAGAGATGGGGCAGTCCCCAAAACAACTGCTGTGCCACGAATCTTCTCTGAGATGCTCAGGGGTTTGCTCCCAGGGCAGAGTGTGATGTGTAGGGAGCCTTAGCAGGTAAAGACTCTTGAACTTGCATTTCTGCTTTAGTCAGAGGGCTGTATGCTTAACCCAGGGCCGGGCACTTGGGAGACATTTGATAAATGTTTGGCTGGAAAAACAGGTGGAAGGTGAGGAGAGTGGTTTGAAGCACAGAGAAGGCAAGAAGACGGAGAGAGGAGAGAAATCCCTCCCCTTCAAGTGGCAGCTATTGTGGGCGGACCTTAGCTAACCATGAGACAAGGAGTCACAGGCCCTGGCCGTTCACATGCCTGGAAGACCAGCTGCTCACTATGAAGAGGTGGGAACACTAATTCCTGTCCCATCATAGTTACTTTTGGGTAGGCGAGGTTGAGAAGCTGAGAGGTGCAAGTGGATCTGTGGTGTTGGGTCCCACCTAGGGCCTATTTGCACATGGGACCCTGGAGGGGCCTCTTTAGTCATCAGTTTCTGGTTCTGTGAATCCACTTTGCTGCATTCTCCAAACATGTCCCCACATGGGTCTGGGTTTGCCGTCTCCTTCTCCCATCTACACGTGTCACACTTCAGTTAGGACACAGGACAGGTGAGGGTTGGGGAGAGAAGAGAAGAGACACTGCAGTGGGATTTTCAGGAGACCGACCCAGCGTCCCTCCCTCTGATGAGGCTGGGAGCTGCCTCACGGGCCCTTCCTCTCACCCAGACCGAGGGAGCTGGCCGTGCGGCTGGGCTGCGGGCCCTGTGCGGAGGAGCAGGCCTTCCTGAGCAGGAGGAAGCAGGTGGTGGCCAAGGCCCTGAAGCAGGCCTTGCAGCTGGATGGAGACCTGCAGGACGACGAGGTCTGGGGACTGGGCTGCTTGGGGTGGGCATCTTCAAGCTTGCTTGGGCACAGAGAGGGCAAGAAGACGGAGAGAGGAGAGAACTCGGCTAGAGGCTGGAACTCATTCCCTAACTAGACCAGGCTTGGTGCCTAGGTGGGCTTGGACCCGTCTCCTCTCTGCCTGCCCCTGCTCTGCTGCCCTCTCACTTGGTGTTATCAGGAGCTTGAGCACATCAAATGCAGAGCATTGCATGAAGCACCTGGAGCTTGCAAGCTGCCCCGATGGGCTTTCCTTCCTGTTTCTTGATTTTCGGCCCGATCCAGGTTGTGAGACCTGGCCTGGTCTGACCAATTGGTGAGATATACAGCCTGAGGGCTGCCTTCTGGCCCCAGGCACTCTCTGGAGGTTTAGATCAGCCTGGGGCATCTCCTAGGGAGATGATCTCTCCTTGCAAGAGGGAGAAGAATGGGTACATGGACATTTTTGAAGTGGCCCTGGGGCTTCCCCAAAACAATCACCAGACTGCTTGTGCTAGAGCTGAGGAAACAAGGCCTAGATTTGTCTGGTTCATTTTTCCTGGAGTACTTAACATCAGACAAACCTGACCCTTGAGAAGCTACTTTTGACTGAACCCTTCTCAGCAGGCTTGACTAGTGCTGGTCCCAGGAGCCCTGATCAGATCTTGAGCAGCCTTAGCTGTGGGTGAGCTGAGTAGCCACTTGGCTTACTACCTCCTCTTCCGCCTCCCTAAGACCACTCCAAGCCTGGCTGTCCTCTCTTTCAGATCCCAGTGGTAGCAGTTATGGCCACTGGTGGTGGGGTCCGTGCGATGACTTCTCTGTATGGACAGCTGGCTGGCCTGAGGGAGCTGGGCCTCTTGGATTGCATTACCTACATCACAGGGGCCTCAGGGTCCACTTGGTGAGCTGGCGGCAGGTTGAGTGCAGGCACCTGGTGGTGGCTGGTTGGGTTGTGACGGGATGGCGGTAGGCTCTCTTAGACCCCAAAGGCCTTTCTGACCAAACTGGAAGGACTGGGATAGTGCATGTGCCAGAGAGAAATGTGTTCAGATGGACCTCAGAAAGTGCCTGCCAGGCTGTTTTCCTACAATAGAGTCCAAGGCATGCAATGGGCTCTTTGAATGATGATCCCCCTGGCTTTGGCTTTTCCCAGGGCTTTGGCCAACCTCTATGAAGACCCAGAGTGGTCTCAGAAGGACCTGGCAGGGCCCATTGAGTTGCTGAAGACCCAGGTGACCAAGAGCAAGCTGGGCGCGCTGGCCCCCAGCCAGCTGCAGCGATACCGGCAGGAGATGGCTGAGCGTGCCCACCTGGGCCACCCAACCTGCTTCACTGACCTGTGGGCCCTCATCAATGAGGCACTGCTGCATGATGAGGTGTGGAGAGGGGTATAGGCTGGGGAATGGATAGGTGGGGGTGGCCAAAGCCACTTTAAGTTCCCAAGATGGGGAGTCACCCTGGGTAGCAGAGGGTGGGGAAGGCCCCAGGCATCAGGAAGCCACGGCTTCAGGTTCAGATCGTCACCTCCCTTCTCCTGCAGCCCAATGACCACAAACTCTCAGACCAGCAGAAGGCTCTGAGTCATGGCCAGAACCCTCTGCCCATCTACTGTGCCCTCAACACCAAGGGCAAGAACATGACCACCTTCGAATTTGGGGGTGAGTATCCTGGAGCTGAGACCCATGCATTCGTGGTTGCTGGGTAGTCAGGCCTATGTGTAGGAGGTGGGTGATACATCCACCTCTTCTGGGCCAGGTCCCATGCTTTCCAGAGACTTGTCGTTCAGGATTTGGGATGAGGGCAAGGGTCTTAGGTCCCATGCCCAGAGTGCCAGCAATAAGGCAGAGCCTCCTGATCACCAGGCTGTCCTGACATGAAGCCTCTGGTGGGTGCATGGTGCCGAGGGTCCCTCAGGTTCTGGGCCTCATGGTGAGGCTGTGTGGCCTCCTCACAGAGTGGTGTGAGTTCTCTCCCTATGAAGTTGGCTTTCCCAAGTATGGTGCCTTCATTCCCTCCGAGCTCTTTGGCTCTGAGTTCTTCATGGGACGCCTGACAAAGCAACTTCCTGAGTCCCGCATCTGCTTCCTGGAAGGTGAGGGGGATTAGAAGGCTGGAAGAGCTGGGGTAGCAGGGAGAATGGGCCTGGGGGAGGTGGTGAGCCTTGGCCTTCCCAGCTTAGTCACTTGGACGTTTCCTGGTCCAAGATGGGCCTTGGGGAAGGTTGTGACAAGGTGGGGGACCCTCTTCCCCTTGTGTCCCCTCTCTTAGGTATCTGGAGCAACTTGTATGCAGCCAGCCTCCAGGACAGTTTATACTGGGCCTCAGAGCCCAACCAGTTCTGGGACCGCTGGGCGCAGGATCGGGCCAGCCTGGGTAGGTGCCTGGGCTCCTTAAGGATTCAAAGGGACAGCCAGTGGGGCTGCATTTGGGGGAAGGTGGGGTGGCTCTCAGGCCTTTGGGAATCCCTACACACAGAGGCTGGGAAAGGTCCAGGGGCCCCCATTTCCTGAATGCCCCACTTCCCCTCCTTGACTGCAGACAAGGAGCAGGTCCCCCTTTTGAAGATAGAAGAAACTCCCACAACAGCTGGCAGGATAGCTGAGTTTTTCACTGACCTTCTGACGTGGCGCCCACTAGCCCAGGCCACCCACAACTTCATGCGTGGCCTCCATTTCCACAAGGACTATTTCCAGCATCCTCACTTCTCCACCTGGAAAGGTATCTGCTTCTCTCCCCCTGGTCCCAGCTCTCCAGAGTCTTCCCATGGCTGTCTGAGCCTTGGGTCCCTGGTCTAGACACCCACACTCTGCAACCCCTCATCTGCAAGCCCTTTGAGCCTGGTTCCATGGTCTGCTTGGAGTGGGAGCCCCTTTTTCTCTCCTTATGTTGGGGATCAGGGCCCACCTTCAGGGTCTCAGGAAGTAGAGGAGAGAGCAGGGCCAGAGGGCAGTCTGTCCACCAGCAGCAAGGAGCTGGCATTAGGTCTGACAGGCTGGTACCCTCAGCACCAGTGACAGTTGCTTCTCCACTCATCCCCCAACCTTTCTAGCCACCAAACTGGATGGGTCCCCCAACCAACTGACACCTGCTGAGTCCCACCTTTGTCTGCTGGATGTCGGCTACCTTATCAACACCAGCTGCCCGCCTCTCCTGCGGCCCACACGGGACGTGGACCTCATCCTGTCGCTGGATTACAACCTCCACGGAGCCTTTCAGGTGGGCCGGGGCAGGCTTGGGAGGCAGTGGGCAGCCCCAGCCTGGCCTGGGCCAGCCTGACATCCTGGCTTCTGCCTCTGGGGAGATCTGCTTGGAGTCCAGCATCTGGTCCACCTTCCCTTAGGGCCTGTGACAGTGAGACCAAGTGAACGAGAGACTGATTTGTAGAATCCACAACCAGGAGATCCACAACCTTGCTCAGGAAGTTGGAGTGATGGGGGAACTAGAATGTTTTTAAGTGTATTTTATATTTAGGTCCCCTTTGCCGTACCTGCACCCCCAATTGGTCATGGACCTCTAGGACTCCCTGCATTGAGTTTCTGTGCTGGTCCAGTGAAAGTTTTTGCCTCTTAATTGCAGAACTTGGGCAGCCCCACTCAGTTGAGCCCAGTGGAGCTGCAGTGGAAAGACCGTCAGATTTCGAGTATTTTTTCAAGTCTGGTCTGGCCTCTGAGCACTAAGCCCCGTGTGTCCTAGCAGACCTCCACATTCAGTCAGTCCGCTGTCGAGGACACTGGGGAGTCCTGTGGGCCTAGCCCTCTGATGCCACTTCTGCCCACCCTGCAGCAATTGCAGCTCCTGGGCCGGTTCTGCCAGGAGCAGAAGATCCCATTCCCACCCATCTCACCGAGCCCTGAGGAGCAGCGCCAGCCTCAGGAGTGTCACCTGTTCTTGCACCCCGACTGCCCTGAAGCCCCTGCTGTGCTACACTTCCCCCTGGTCAATGACTCCTTCCGGGAGCACTCGGCCCCTGGTGAGCCATGGTCCCAGCCCCTCCACTTTGCCCTCCTGGTACCCTGGGCCCCCTGCCCCACCTCCTTGGTCCTTCATGCCTCTCCCACCCTGACGCCCTCAGTGCATTTCCCCTCCATGCCAGCGCTGCACTCTTTCTTCGCTAGGGGTCCCACGGACAGCTGAGGAGAAAGAGGCTGGGGAGGTGAACCTCTCTTCCTCCAGCTCTCCTTACCACTACTCGAAGGTGACCTACAGCCAGGAGGATGTGGACAAGTTGCTCCACCTGACACATTACAATATCTGCAACAACCGGGAGCAGCTGCTGGAGGCCCTGCGTGAGGCTGTGCTGCGGCGGAGGCAGCGCAGGCAGCTCCAGCCCCAGTGATGGTGGCAGGAGCGGGTGGCACCCTGGCCTGGGGCTCCCGCCTGCCCACTGCCCCTGACTCTTTCAGACTCACTCCTTGCCTGGCTGAGTTAGGGCAGAGACCATCATTACCAGGTCTTCTGAGCCTCTGGAGCTATGGATGGTCCTTTTGGGGGCCCCATCACAGTGTGTACTCAGCACCACCCCAAGTGTGGCACTGAAGCCACCAAGTCTGCCACAGACGCCTTTGGGTAGGTCGAGCATTCTAAATGAGCCTGGTCCCCGTGATGTGGGCTAGAGATGGCTACCTTTTGAGCAAGGAGAAGATTCAGAGATTCTGTGGCGGTTGGAGGTAGAGATGGAGGAGCCCAGAGCAGCATGATCGTCTTTGTATAAGGGCGCAAAGCCCCGTGACTTGTCTGTTTTCCCTTCCTTACTACCTTAAGTAATTATACAGAGTGAAATAGAGCACTTTATATATACCAGCAGCTCATACAAATGTGAGGCATTATCTGAGATTGTCATTGCTGCCAAGAAGGGACATGTTATTCCAGGCTCTTGGTTACACAAGGCAAGGACTGGGTTAGGAAACAGGATGTCTCCCCCGGGACCCCAGAGCCAGTGAGTCAGCATGGCTTTCCTCTGAAGCACCCACCATCTGCCCCCTGCCATGTCTGCCACCACTCAGGGCCACCCTTTCCAATCAGGCCAGAGGCCGGTTTGGCCTAGGGGTCTCCACTGCTGCAGCCTGGTCAGGTGAACAAACTTACAGGCAATGACCACACCCTTGACCCAGGCTAGAATCTTGGAGTGTAGCCAGGGACTCGATCAAAAGGCTGCTTCCAATCCCACAGTAGGGGTGGCCAGACCTGGGACCAGATGAGCCAAAGAAAGAGACCAGTGCCAATGGCATAGCTTCACCAAGCTGTGAACTTGGGGGTGTCCTGTCTCTTAAAAAGGAGCCATCTATTCTCGAAGTTGGTCCTGAGGGGCCTGGTAGCTGAGTCTTGTTCTGGTCCCTTAGAGAGTGTCTTCACTTTTAGCCCTGAGGTTTGCTGCCACCTCAGGGTTTGCTTCAGGGCCCAGACCTATGGGGAGAACAAGGAGGCAGAGTGAATTTAGGGCCTCAGAAACCTAGCCACCTCAGAATCTTCTTCACGCACCAGTGCTACAGGCCTCTGGCCTCCCTGGGGACACCCCACCTCCTCCTAGCCTTTAGGTGGGATGTAGATACGGGGAGCCAGCAGGTAGCTGCAGGAGTGACCATGGTGTGTGGGGTAGATGATATTTTTTCATGACCCAATGACTCTCAGGCCTTGCCCTGGGCATGACTGGAATCACAGAGCAGAAGAAATGGTTGCCCTGTAGCCTTAGAAGCCACTGTGTCCAGCACAAGGCCCATTCACTCAGCGGTACATCACCTGAATCATAAACTGGAAGCTGTAGGCCCTGCAGGAGTGTGAGTGGATGATTATACCAGAGACCACAACCATCATGGCTGCCACCCATTAAGATGTGAGTGCTCCTCAGGCATGAGGCTGTGTGTGTGTGTACATCTGTATTTCTGTGTGTGTCTGGTGGGTCTCTACATGTCAGTAGCTCTGTGTGGGTTTGTCTCCATGTGGGTCTCTGTATGCGTCTGTGTGTGGGTCTTGGGGTCATCTGTGGGAATATCTGGGTGACATTCTGACTCCTGGTCTCTTTAGGATAGTAAGTCCCCCGTTTCCCCTTGGAGCAGGGAACAGGTCCATGGACTAGGGAGGGAAGATGAAGGCAGAGAGCAGGGACAAGATCAAAGGTGTAGAAGGGGTCTGGCTGTCCTGCAAACAATGCTCCATCTTGGAGAGAAAGAGGAGGACTAAGTGAGGGATGTATGGGTTCTAGGTGGACAGAGCCAGGCAAGCTCTCTAGCATGGGCAAAGGTAACCTGGGTGCCCCTCACCTTGGGTCTGGCCTGAGCAGAAAAGGTGGCGGGAGCCTTGTGCAGTGTCTTCTGCAGGGCCAGCCATCGCAGGGGACTCCAAGGGCTGTGGGTTGCTGTCACTGCCCACGTGCGTCTCCCTCAGTGAGGAGGGTGGGGGACAGCCGTGGAATCTGGAGGGGCGGGGGGAAGGGAGCCTCATGACCCGGACTCTATTGTCACTGCAGAGAGAGCAGGGGTTGACATTAGATGGGGTGAGTGCTAAGTGGGGACTTTCTGTTTCCTGGGGGTGGCTGAGGTTCTCTAATGTAGGGGTTACCCCACCCCCTAACAGTGTAAGTCAGAGTTCCAAGACCTTGGGCTTAAGAGTGCAGCATCCGTGCCGGTCATGGAGGCTCAAGACGCCTGCCCACACACCCAGGGGCCCTACCTGAGTGGAGCAGCCATGCTGGGCGCACTTTCAGCTGGGAAGTCCAGAGGTCTGGCTGTGAGCTCTGGGCTCAGACTGTGGGCTGCAGAGCAAAGGAAGAACCCTGGTCAGCCCTGTCCTAGATACTGGGCCACCTACAGGCAGAGTCCCTGCATGCTCCCACTTCTAGGCAATGGTCTGGATATTTCTGTACCCCCTCCCCCAATATGTTGAAATCCTAACCCCAAGGCGGAACTATTAGGACAGGCCTTTGGGAGGTGATTAAGTAATGACAGTGAAACCCTTAAAAAGAGACCCCAGAGAGCAGCCTTGCCCCTTCCACCATGTGAGGACACAGTGAGAAAGTACCACCTGCAACTGGAAGACAGTTCTCACCAGACACCCAGTCTGCTGATGCCTTGATCTCGGACTTCTCAGCCTCCAGAACTGTGAGAAATAAATGCCTTTTGGTTATAACCTCCCCAGTCTGTGGTATATTTGTTATAGCAGCCCAAACAGACGAAAATGCTCCTGCTTCTGGAAGCTAGGTATGCAGCAAGTTCCATGTGGAGGTGCTTCATAGGCTGAGCATCCCCGGGCAGGTTCTCCCCAGTGTATCCTGCCTCCTAGATGGCTAAGAAGGGCTCGGCCTGGAGGAGATTCTGAAGAAATTTAGTATCCCTTTGGGATCCTGGAAGGATAGGCTCAGGGAACTCCTAGGGGAACAGAATGTGAGAAATGGAGCCAGGAAACCAGAGAGATGGGGAGGAGCAGGAGGGGGCTCCCAGTAGCGCCCCAGCAGCCTCAGGATGTGCCATGAACACACTGTCCATTCAGAAGGTACAAGGGGGTGCTTTCTACATGTACCTGCTGGTAGCAGAGCTGGGCTTGACCACTGTCTACATTCAGGGTGTGTGAGAACTTATGAATGATGGAGAAGCCCCCAGGATCAGACAGAGCAGAGCCTGGGAAAGCCCATGAAGACTCTAGAAGGCTCAGAGGAGTCAGAGCAGCAGACTCCAAAGGGGACAGAACAGGACCAGGAGGCAGCCAGGGGATCAAGCCTGGCCCTACCTCTGCTACTAATTAGCTGTGTGAGCTTTGTCAAGTTGCTCACCCTCTCTGGGCTTTAAATTCTTTGTGAAAAGGCAATAAGTTCCACTTCTCTCACAGGCTACACAGGTACTAGATGTGAAATTTACCAGGATGCATAAAATACCAGCAGCTTGAGGCCCAGGGAGTCAGTGCCCCCCACTCCCCTTCCCCAGGGTTTCTCTAGAGCCTACCTGATGTGCTGCTTAGGGCTTGATACCAGCTGTCACCCTGTCCTTTAGATGGTGCTGCAGACAGGATCTCTGCCCCGCTGCTCAGCCTGCACCCAGACAGCCATGGATCAAACTCTCCACCTCCCATGCAGGGACCCATGCTTCCAGGCTGCTCTCAGGAGGACACGCCTGCTGAGGCAGCCTGTCCCAGGCCAGTCTCTCTTCCCACACTTGGCCCTTACCTTAAGGAAAAAGTGTGTTTCCTGTTATGGTATTCCCGTGGCCTCTCACACTGGGCTCCTATGAGGTCAAGAGTGGATGTAGAAGCCATGTTCTGAGAAGATATGACAGGCAGGGGTCACCATGGTCATCTCGCTTTTCCCAGTGGGCCCTCTCTGTTCTCTCTCTACCTCCACTGCCATCCTCGCTTCCTGGAACAGGCTCAGGGATCGTCCCCCAAGGTCCTGTGGCAGCCGTCCCAGGGACTGGAGCTGGGCTGTGGCAAGTAGGTGCTGAGGCCACACCGGCTTCACCAGAACCAAGGTGCCCATGGGGATGAGGGAGCCAGGGAGCAACTTACAAGGAAACCAAAATGAGAGGAAGCGGACTCCCACCGTCCACCTGGGTGGGGGCAAAAACTGTGAAGTGGCCCCAAGAAGAAACTGTCCTAAGAATGGGGGCTGGGGCCAGGGGAGTCCACCTAGAGTCCATCCACAGTGCCATGGGGCCAGGCCCCGATGGCCCCTCTGAGCCCCACTAGTGGTTCTGTGGAGGTGCCTAGGGAAGGAATTTCCTGGCACTTACCTGCCTTCTCCCAGGCAGGAGCTGCTGCTTAAGCTCCAAAGACTCCTCTATGGTGGGGGTACCCTTTGCATCCTGAAAGTGCAAGATAGGGCCCAGGAAACATGAGGACCGGCACAGAGGACAGGGCCCCCTGTGTAAGGGTGGCTAGGTAACCACTCCTTCCCAACCTCATGGTCAACGATGCTCTTCTCCTTTGCCCAGTGGCCCCAGGTCCCTGGGCCTCTGCACTGGCTCCAGGGAGTGGCCCTTACCCCGCTGGGCTCCTGCGGCCTGGCTGCCTGCTCCAGGGAGACAATGGTGGCCAAGGGTATGTGCTGCCCAACAGGGACACCTGGCTGTAGGTCCCTTGTCTCAGCCAGCCATGCCCTAGGCCACCAGCTTCCAAGGGGCCTGTGCTGAAGGGAGGTCAGCCCACTGCCAACTCTTCTAGGTTTTAGCCTTTTCACCTGATGCAGCAGCTTCCGTTCCATCTAGGGAGGGGAGCAAGGTGAGTTGGGTCAGGGCCCCAGGGGTGGGGGGTCCATGCCCAGTCTCTCCTCCCCAAAGCTCTCCCACCCAGAGAGAGCCCATTTCCCTTCAGGTTAGAATTCCCTCTCTTCCCAGCCCACAGTGGCACCCCAGCCTACCAGGATATGGGAATGCCAGTATACTGCAGCTGGCAAGAGGAACAATGGGGTTTTCCTGAAGGGCAAGTGCCCTGGGGAGACTGCCCCCCCCCCGCCCCCCGGCCCGCCAACTTGCAAGCTGAGACTGGGAACACTCCCACCACCAGCCCTCAGGACCCATCTCCTGGGATTCCTTCTCCCCAGCCTTGCTCACCCCCACCTTCCTCTGCAGTTGGACGAACTTCTCCTCCTGGGCTGCCAGCAGCTTTTCTAAGTCCTGGTGTCTGCAGAGCAGCAGCTCCACATCGGACACTGAGTCCTGGGGAGAAGGAAGGCAGGGTGAGAACCAGCTCCCGGGAGTGCCGAGAGCCTTCCCTTCACCTTCTGCAGCCCAGCCTGGGTGGCCAGTTGAAAGGAGGAGCCGCAGAAGCTTCCCTTGGCTGTAGCTGCTGGACAGTGCAGCTGGTGAGAGGGCAAGATCTTGGCTCACCCCACAGTTGGGGTCCAGCAGGAGGCCCTCCCGGGAAGCCAGCCAGGCTTCGGCCTGGTCCAGCCCCTGCCACAGCTTCTGCAGGCACCAGTTCTCCTCGCAGCAATCCCGGCGCAGGGCCCAGGCCTCCTTGAGCGCCTGCAGCTGCCCTTCCAGCTCCTGCAGACACGCTGTCACCTGGTGGGGAGGGGGTACTGTGGGTGACATGATGGGCGGAGCCACCCAGGTAAGGCAGCAGTGGAGTGCCCAGCAGAAGCGTCAAGGGAAGGCTGAGAGTCCTGGACCCTCCCCTTCTCTGTCCCTCTCTCTTCGCCCCTAGCCTGGCCTTCCTCACCCACAGGCTTCACTCTTGTTAGGGGTTCTGAGGCCTTGAGTAATGGGGCTCTGTGTCCAGCTCAACGCCAGGCCCACCTCTGTGCTGATACCTCCAGAGACATAAAGTGGCCACTGTCCACCAGCTGCTGCCCCTCCTGCTTTATATTCTGGGCTTGAAGGCAGTGCTCCTTGATTTCTTGCTCCAGCTCCTCATGCTGCCCCAGGAGCCACTCGGCCTCTGCCATGTCCCCAGCCAGCTCCTCTGAGGATACCAGTGCCTGCTTCTCCTGAGCCCATGCTCTGTGGGACAGGGAGAGATAGCAGCTGTCAGGGTCTGAAGGGCAGCATGGGGTGGAGGGGAGGGCAGGGCATGAGCCACACAGGAGGAGGCAGAGTTCCTTAAAGAGCTGGGGTGACCCCTCCACATACAACAGGGAATAGCTAAGCCAACAACTGGGGCAGGATGCCACCTACAGCAGTTCCTGACAGCGTCCAAGGAAGGTGCGGCCCTGGGCAGCCTGCTCCAGCTGCCAGCCTCGCTCCTGGGCCTTCGCATCCAGGGTGGCCCAGACCTCCTGCACCTCGGCCAGCTGCTGAGCCAGGCTCTCCTGAGCCACAGGGTGTAGCTGGCCCAGTCGGCAGGCCTCCATCTGCACCCGTGCCACCTCCTTCTCCATAGCTGCCAATTCCATCTGCCATCAGAACACACTATCAGACCTCACTCTCTGGCAACCTGCCACATGCTACTCATTCAGGGAGCACCAAGTCTTCTCTGAGGAGTCCTGCTCTACTTCCCAGAATCTCCCAGGCCACTTCTGCTCTGCTCCCCAACCTGGGCAGGCAGTCCCTGGGCTGGGAGAGTCCTGGACTCTCTGGGGTCCCCCTACACATTGCCTTTAGGGAGGGGCTCAGACAGGAAGCCCACAGGGTGTGGGCACTCACCTCCAGGCACTTGTGCTGTTTTTGCAGGGTCTGCCTGGATAACAGGCTGTGGTCATAGGTGTCTCTTGCCATCAGGGTGGCCTTCTCCTGCATCCAGCTCCGGAGCTCGGCCACCGCCTGCTTAAAGCCATGGACCTCACAGGCCGCGGCCAGGTTCTGGGAGAGGAGAGAGGGCCTGCTCTGGGCTGAGCTCTTTCTCAGGGTTCTTCCTTCCTGGAGACACACCCTCCTGGGCCACCTCCTTGTAAATAATGAGGACCCCAGGGCTTAGTGACTTGCTCATGACAACCAGGCACAGAAAATGCCCTAGATGTGGCAACTGCTCAATGAACTAATGTAGAATGTTACTGATGATGTGGTCTGGCCTCAGGGGGCATCTTGTGAGGAGAGGGTCTTCAGTGCACAACTCATGAGAAAGACAGAGATGGAGGCTCCGAAGCAGGGGGGATGGGCCCATGGGAGGAAGGAGATTGGTCATGGGGGAAGAGGTTTGGCCAAGAGGAGAGGGTCAGCCCAGAAGGCTGCTCTAGCCTGGCTCCTCAGAGATGGCATCTCCTGGCTGTGGGGTCTGCCAGGGGCTCAAGGAGCTTGCCTGCTTTTATAGAAACTACCAGCTGTGGCTAAGAGCTAAGTTTGTGGGGGAACATTGAAGATTTCCTTGGCATAAAAATTCACTGAGAGCACTTAGACAAGAAGAGTAAACGAGTGGAGTGAAGAAAACCGTTGCCTGACAAGATCATGTCCAGTTGAGTGCCATTAAAGGGGCCAACAAGGCATATATCTTAAAACTGAAGCCTGTGTGTAGTGGGGCTTGGCAGGGGTCAGAAGCTGGCCAGAAATGCTGTTTCTCTTACAGGTGTGAACTGTACTAGGAGGAATCAAATAGGTGGAGAGGGCAGGAGGTGGAAGACTATGAGACCCAGCTGGGAATTTTAGAGGCAGACACACACACACACACACACACCACCTCCCCCTGCTCCTGGCCCCCCGCCCCCTGCAAAGGGTCTGGTTGTCTCTGGCCCATGCAAAAGGCACAGATGTCTCTGCCCCTTAGCCACTTGCTACCTGGCCTACGGCAATCTACCTGTGTGCGGGCCTTTATTGCCCTGTCCAGCCTCTCCCAAGTGGCCTCAATGAGACTCCTCTGGGCTTGAATCTGGGGATGGCACCTGGGTGCTGCCTGTTCCAGGTTGCGTGCCCGCTCCCTCAGGGCCTGCACCTTGGCTTGCCCCAGGCTCTGGACTTCCTCTCTGAAAGCATCAAATTTCTCCCCTAGAACCTGCAAGAGCATAGGGCCAGGAGGGTCACTTTGGTGTCCAGCAGCTCTCGAAGGTCACGAAGGATTCGGCAGTATCTGACAGTCCCAACTCCCCTCGGCCCAGACTCTAGAATTGCAGAATCCTGCCAGAGTCGAGATCCCCCTCTCCCCTTCTGTTCACACCCTTGCCTCCCCAGACGCATACCTTCTCTGTCCTTGTTCAGCCTCAATCCACTCTCCCCTAGGTTTGCTCAGGAGTGTCTCACCTTGGTGGCCTCCAGGTCCTGTCCGTAGTCTTGAGATTCGGCAGTAGCCACCTTGCTGGCCAGCCAGTCATCGAGGAGCAGGGCCTCCCGCTCCAGTTGGTGGAGCTGCAGCTGCTCCCGCAGGCGTTGACGCCTGCCCTCTGCTCTCTGCAGCAGCCCTGAATGCCCCTCCTTCACTGCCCGCATCCAGGCCAGCACTTTGGGGCTGTGGCAGGAAAGACAACCCTACTGGAGACCTTCCTCTCCAGGAGGGACCAGCCTCATATGCCTCTGTAGAGCGCGCCCCTCCCAGCTCCTCCCTAGATGGGCCTGGCTCTGACCCACCTTTCTGGGCCCTGCCCGCTCTCAAGGAGGGCCGCTGTCTTCTGAAGTCTCTCGATGCGCATGCTGAACCCCTCCAAGTCTCTCCTGGTGGCCTCTAGCCGCCGCAGAAAGGCCCGCGTGGCCTCAGCATTCTGGCCCACGTCCTCAATGTCCAGGACACAGCCCCGTTCGGCCAGCCAGGTTTCTGCCTCCAGGAGCTGGGGTGACATAGAGGAGAGCAGCTTTCCTGGGACGATGCCCTCCAGGGGTCCTTGCTTACAGTTCACACGTCAGGATTAAGAGTGATTCTCAGCCTTGCTGTACATTGGAATCACTTGAGAGCTTTAAAAATGCTCTATACCTGGCTCTCATCCTGAAAGATTCTGATTTGGCCTAGAATGGACCCTGAGTACCGACATTTCTTAAAGGTGATTCTGATGTAAAGCATTCATTGAGAACCACTGGTTGGAAGACTCAGCAAAACCAAACCAAACGGAAAGTCTGTTTTCTAAGAAATGCACAAGACTTTGAGGGCAGACCACCTAACTGGAGGTGAAAGAAGGCGCACAGAGCCGAGAGCTCCCTGAAGAGTCACCTCCTGGGCTTGCATATACCCCAGATGTAATCATGCCCGCCCCAGCCCTCTGAGCCCCACAGACTTCCTCACCTCCACCAGGAGCTGCTGAGTCTCCTGAGCCTGCTGTAGCCGCTGCCACCTCTGCGTAGCCTCTGCCCGCAGGCAGCCCATGGCGGTCTCTAGCTGCTGTACCCGAGCAGCCACTTCAGGGGCAGCAAAGTGCCCAGCCTGCACCAGCTTGTGCCCTGTGCCCACCACTGCCTGGATCAGAGCCTCATGGCTGCTCATCTCACTCTCCAGGTTCTGAGGAGGCGGAGGAAGACAGGACCAAGGCTGCTACTGGGCACTCTGCTGGGGACCCTAGTGTTGTGCCTGAAGCTTCGTGGGATCCCACAGACTTGCCCTCAAGGAATTCCCTGTTCTTGTGACCAACAAAAAATCCAGGGTGTCCCCGAAGCCCCCAAGGCTGAGCACCCATTAGGGCCTCAGCACCGTTTCCTTGGCTGATTGAGCCTCCCTCTCCCCAGGTGGGCCCACACCTGGTGCTTCTCCTGCAGGCACCGCACAGTGCTCAGGCTCTGGCCGTAGTCCTGGGCAGAGGCCAGGGGCAGCTTCTCCTGTACCCAGGCCATTTCCTCATCAGCGTCCCTGAAGAACTGCAAGAGGAGGCTCCGGGCCTCCAGGGTTGTCCTGCGCTCCCGCAGGGGCTCCCGCTGGCTCTCCAGCCTGCAGAGGTGGAGGGCAGGGCCAGGGCAGGTAGGGACTATTGTCATCAGTGTGAGGGCCAGATGGTGACACATTGCTCACTCACTCTGTGCTCCTCGCCGAGGGCTGGGGGAAGCCCTGCGATGAGCTGGGAGACAGGAAGGAGGCAGGTGGGGAGGATGTGTACAGGCAGATCTACCTCTGAAGCAGCCGCTGGGCCTGCTCTTCCACATGGTGGGCGTGGCAGTGGCCTTCCTGTACAAAGTTCCGGGCCTGGCCCAGCAGCGCCTGTGCCTGCCTGGCCTGCCTGTCCACTGTTGCCTCCAGCTCTCCTTGAGTGCCCAGGAGCTCCTCCAGCCCAGCCTGGTTCTGGCCTTCGATGGGAACTCTCAGCTCAACCTCCATGGCTTCCAGCCAGCTCTCCATTTCCTTCACACTCCTCTGGAGACGCAGGGTCTGGGGCAGAACAAAGGTAGACGTGGAGGAGAGGCCTGGAGCCCCATTCAGCCTGCTTCGTAGCCCGCATGGCCTTACCTCGCAGGCCTCCTGCAGCTTGGCTGCCTTCCTCTGGCAGTTGGCTTGCAGCTCGTCCCAGAGCTCTCCCAGCTCCTGCAGCCGCTCCTGGATGGTCTCTGAGGCTGGGTGGCCTCCCTGTAGCAGCCTCTGCCCTTCCTACAACCACAATATGGACTGCTGGTGCCAAGGCACTTGTATCGGTGCCAACCACCAGCCCCACAGCTGCCAAGTCTCTGTGTTCTGGCTGTGTGGTTTGGGGCAAGTTCCTTAACGTCTCTGAACTCATTAGCCTTATTTATTTAATTCAAGTAATAATGGTTATTTTGTTTAAATGAGGACAAACATTGAAAATACTTAGCAGGGCACTTTGTACCAGAGGGAGCCGGCCTGCGGTCAGGGCCTGAGCTTCGTCAGTAAGAGAGAGTAAATTTAAAAGGTTCTGTGCTTTGACTCCTTTACCCACAGGACAGCTGGCTGTGCTGGGATGGTATCCCCTCCTGTCCTTCCAAGCTATTTTTAAAAACCGTCACATCAAAACACTATCTTTACAATTGTTGGAAAAGGACCAGTTTTGGAGAGGGTGCCCAGGGAAGCTACTGTTTCTCACTATCCTTTATTGCTTAGCACGGTGACTGCACATAGAAAATACTCTGTGAATGTTGGCCATCCATTATTATGGTCCAGAGCCGCTGCGGGGCGCTGTGGAGTTGCCCCATGATCTGGCCTGCCAGACTTTTCCATGGTCCCCCAGCTGGGTCCCCAGGGCCTCACCATCTGCAGCCTTTGTCGTTGGTGCACACTCGTGTCCAGCTCAGCCTGGAGATTCTGCTGCTTCCGTAACTGTGCCTGCAGCATGGCTGGGTCCCGCCAGCCCTCTTCCGTGGCCACCAGGTTCCTCTCCCTGAGCCACATAGCCACCTGGGCGCACAGGGAGGACCAGATTCTGCTGCCTAGGGCTCTCTTCCCCTATAACTTCTGGGCTACCCTGAGGAAGAGTGGCCTCTCTCTGACAGGGCTCCTTCCCCCCACCACAACTACTCCCCTCCCCAAATGGGGAACCTCATAGGAATCCTGTAGGAAAGTCTGCAGCTGCTGGAGCTCCTCCAGGTGGTGGCGGCAGTTCCGGGCTCGCTCCAGGAGTGCCTCTTTCCTGCCAGAAGGAGGGTCTCATGAGGCCACAGGTCCTCCCACCAGGACCTGGAAATGCTACAGGGGTGCGTGGGTGCATGTGTGTGTGTGCGTGCACATGCACGTATGTGTGCATATGGGTGCCCTTCCAGCCTAGGACAGCGTTTCTTGGATATCAGTATACCCTGGATCTGGGGTTTCCTTTGAAATATACATTCTACTTCCTCTCTTTATTAGTGTCTGTTATGAGATGGACTGTGTCCCCCCGGATTCTTGTATTGAAGTCCTAATCCCCAGTACCTCAGAATCTGACTGTACTTGGAGACAGGGTCTTTAAATAGGTAATTAGGGTAAAATAAAGTCATATGATACAACTGATGTCCTTATAAGAAGAGATTAGGACAGAGACGCACACAGATGACCATGAGAAGACAGAGGGAGAAGACAGCCATTCGCAAGTCAAGGAGAAGTGCCTGAGTAGAAACCAATCCCGAAAACGTCTTGATCTAGGGCTTTCAGCCTCCAGAACGGTGAGAAAATAAATGTCTGTTTTGAAGCCACCTAGTTTGTTATTGCAGCCCGAGCAAACCAGTACATTGTCTAAACCACTTTTTTGAACATGCACTGCTATTAGTGAGAATTTTTTGAGAGGTACCCCTCATATATGTATTTGTGGGTATGCATGTGTGTATATATACTGATTTATATATGTGTGTACCTTTGTACCAGTATATGAAGTACATTGCCATACGCACAAAAATAAAAATTAGAAATAAGATCTATAAAATAAATAGGAAAAGAAGTTCTAATACCACCACCCCCTATGCCCTGGGGTCCACAAACGTCTCCCTTCAACGGTTTCCATACTGGTGTGTTAACTTTTGTCTCCCCCTGCTGGGGATACCAAAGTGTATGGGGGCCGGGGGAGACACGGAGAGGCTTGACTGAATAGAAACGCCTCCCAGAGGACGTCAGAAACCCAGGAGTGGAGGGGGTCAGGGTGACACTGTCCTGGGGGTCAGCCAGGCTTGCCAGGAGCCATCTAAGGTGACGGGGGCGGGGGCGGGGAGGGAGTATTGATAGAGACCAGCAAACCAATGTTTGATATCTGTCAATCAAAGCCCCCTGGGTTCCCAGGTAGGGGTCCGCCTGTAAGGAGGAGGAGGGGATGGCTCACTCTGCCCCTGCCAGGGCGCCAGCAAAAGGAGCCAACATTAAGGGCTCTGGTGGGCTCTCTCAGAGGGATGGAAACCCTCACCAGTCGGGGATCGGCTTCTGGTCAAATCTGCCTTGATCTAAAAGTCTGAGGAGCCGGGCAAGGCAGTTGAACCAGATGTGCTTTTATGAGGAAAAATGGCAGAACCTCCCACTTTGTAAGCTGTGCTGGCTTCGGTTAAATGAGCATAAGGAAAATCTGTCATTCTGCCCACTTGCCAGGGAACGTGCTAAGACACCAAGGCTACCTTTTCAATCTTCACACAGCCCTGAGAGGCAGGTATTGGTATGCCCTCATTGTAGACATGAGACTCCATGAGGAATCTTCCCCAAGTCCCTACGAATAAGTAGCAAGGAACCCAGGTCTCTCTGGCTCCAGAGGCCGACACTTAACCCCTGTGCCCTGGTATCACCACTCCAGTAGGTCATTTCCTCTTAGTTTCCCAGTACACATCTCTGTAAAACTCCTTCTTATCTCAGCTGGATGACTATGTGCTGCTTGATATCCATAACGGGTCAACTCTCTGCAGGGATGACACCCAGCAGGGCTGGGAGTGGTGGGGCCCTGGCATCTGACTGCAGCCCTCGGAAAAGGCTGGCGAGCCTGGGCCAAGAGGCAGAGAACAAGAAGGAAAGAGCTGGGCGCCCCATGACCACGCCAGCCCGCCCATAGCTCCCCTCAGCCCCAGAGCCAGAGGTACCTCAGGAGCATGGCCTGGCACCGGCTCAGGGTGCTCTGGGCCTCGGGGTGCCCACCCCAGTGCAGGTTGCGCGCTGTGGCCTCCAATGCGTTGATCTTTTCTGCCTGTGCCTCCAGGCCCTGCTCCAGCACCTTGTGCTTCCACAGGAGGGTCTCCACATTGGCCAAGGGGTCCTGGTGGGAGCAGGGGAAGCTGACACTGTCCACGGGGCTGCCCCCTCCCCATCCCAAGCTACCTGCTTTCCCACCTACAGCCATACTAGCAAATACTCACCCCCATGTTGAGTGCTCTGCATGAACACAACCCTATAACCCCTCAAGGCTGTATCTGGCTTTAGGATTGAGATTCTCAGCCAGGGAAGGTATTGGGAATAAGGTTTAAGGGTTACAATTTCCAGGGCAGGTGGAACTTGTCATCTAACAGGTGAAAAGCTCCCAGTAATGCTGCATCAGCACAGGACGGGCTAGCCCAATTTTTCTCTGAAGTCTCCCAAAGGTCAGGCTTCCCTGCCACAGGGTTGGGACAGAGGTGGGACAGAAGCAAACCTCTGCATGTCAGGAAGTGAGGAGGGCAGAGGAGAGAAGGGTGGTGGCAAGGAGGCAAGAACGGGTCCAGGGTCACACACTCACCCTCTAAGCTCCCACGGCATTTGCATTTCTGGTGGGGCCTAGCCCAGGTGCATAAGAACTGCTCACATCAATGGGCATGTGACAGCTCAGTGACTGACATGGTTGAGGTGAGGAGATCCTCTTAGCCTGAGGAGCTCAGGTAGCACTGGCTGGAATTGATCCCTAATGCTGTTCTTGTAAACCCTCCCTCACTCCTGCTGGGCACCTACCCCTAGACCCTTGCTGGCTGGGCAGGCTTCCTGGCTGCAGAGCCAACTTTCCATCTGCTCCACAGAGCTCAGAAACAACTGTTGGGAAAGATAAAGGCAAGAGGAAATGAGCAGAGGGTCCAATCACTGCAGGTGAGGTAAACCTGTTGGTGGTCCAGTGGAGAAAGCAGGGACTCAGGGCCTGGCTCAACAGAATGTGTCTACCGCAGGCCAGACTTGTGGGAGAGTTAGGCGGTGAGTGGTGAGTGGTGAGTGGTGAGTGGTGAGTGGTGAGTGGTGAGTGGTGAGTGGTGAGTGGTGGGTGGTGGGTGGTGGGTGGCGGTAAGAGGCCCTGTCATAGCAGCCTCTCTATCTTTGGCTTTGACCAGGGTCCCTGGGGTCAGTGCAGGCCCCAGTGGGTGGGGGCAGGATGGAGGCTGCCTACCTGTATCTCCAAGGCCTGCTGAAGCTGGAGCTGGTGCTCTTGCCAGGCCCCTTCCAAACTGTTCAGCTCTTGCTCTAAGCCAGCCAGGGCCTGGCAGATGTCAGGGGCGGATGGGTGGCCAGCTGCAAGTAGTTGCTGCGCTGTGTTCCGGGCCAGGTTGATGCTGTCTGTTCGGGAGTCCAGCTTGGCCTGTAACAGGACTGGGCTCATATCCCAGAGGCCGAGGCCTTCAGGGCTGGAGGAGGCCCAGTGAGCAGGAGGAGAGATGGGGAGACCGCTGAGGGGGTGGGATGGAAGAGGAGAAAGGCAGAGGCAGGTGACTGAGAAAGGACCCAGGAGGAGGTTGGGATCACAGTAAGGGAGAGGGTAGAGAGGAGGCAAGATCTCAGGAAAGGTTCCAGGATCTCAGCTGCCCACCTTGTGCTCCTGGTGCTTCTCCAACATGTGCTGGGCCTCTGCCGAGCTGCGGGGAGCGCTTCGGGTGTCCATTTCAGCTCGCAGCCTCCGGGCCCAGACAAGCAATTCCTGTAGCATCATCTGCAGTTTCTGAGCTTGGTGCGAGGCATCCAGCGACTCCCTCCTGCCCACAGGGTTCATCGGCTAGTCCTGGGGCCTCTGAGCCCTTTTTTCTCCCTGTGCCTACCAGTGCCTAAATCCCCTCAGCCAAAGATGGGCCCAGGGGCTGGGATTAATGGGGTGACAACACAGACAGCTATTTGAAGGATGGAGAAAGATTCTTAGGGGGAAAACCAGGGCCAAGGGGAGGTGTATGGCCTGAGGGATGGGTCAGGGAGGGCAGTGAGGGCTCATACCACTTCTGGACCCTGCTTAGGAGCCGCTGCCAGCTGTCCACCATCTCCTGCTGCTTGCCGCTGAGGCTGTGGGCTGCCCTGGGGTTTCTTCGGCAGAGGCGGCCCACCTCACGCTCTAGGGGCTTTTGAGGGAAGCAGGATCAGGGGCTGGGGTGGAGGGGCAGGTTTTACTCAGGTGGGGTCCCCAGCTGCAGGAGGCCCCCCGTCTGTGGGAATAACAGCCGAGTGGATCTGGCTGGCTCTCAAGGTACTGAAGCTCCGTTGTCCTCTGCACAGGGTCCCACAGAGGAGGTACTCTGGCCTAGGCCCACCTCCACACCCAGCAGCACACCTCCACCTGGGCCTGAATGAGGCCCATTTCCTGCTCCAACTTCTCGTGTTTCTGCAGCAGCCTCTGCACGCTCTCTAGATCTTTCCCGCAGTCCAGGGCCTGGACCAGGGTGGCCTGAGGAGGAATGGGGAGATAGTGACTTGGCCTCTCTCCAGTTCCTCCCTCACTGCAGAGGGGTCACTGGCCTCAGGGTTTGTGGGTGGAAAGTAAGCACTCAGCGTGAGTCCCTTCCCAGTGTCCTCGGAGGGGCCGGAGTGGGGTGCCCACCCTGACCAGAGGCCCCTTCCTTCTGTGAAGGAGGAAGGTTCTGAGGAGAGCCGTGAGGTGGGGATGTCCTCTGAGGCAGTGATATTCATCCGTGAGGTGCTTTCACATGCACAATCTCCTTCAACTCTCATGCCTCTGGGGGCAACTGAGCATGGACAGCCAGGCCTGGCTGAGGTGGAAACCAGAGGAAGAGTAAGAACGGTCCACTGGGGCTTCTCAGGCTCTTCACTTTCACCTCTACTGGTGTGCAGCCCACGTTTCTCTGCGGTGGCTGACACAAGCCTGGGACAAACCTCCTGTGGGCTCAGGGCTTGCTCAGGGACAACAGAGGAAACTGGGGGTGGCGGGTTCTGGCCTCTGGACCCACGGTGCTTCTGGGGGCAAAAGGGTGTAGGTGGGCTGGACTCTGAGCCTGCAGTGGGGGCATCTGTGGTCTGTAGCTGATTCTGAGAGCCCCTGGCTCCCCCCTGACACACCCCTGGCAGGACCTCCAAGTCCCCACCCTGAAGAGGTGAGACGGGCAAGGGGCAGGGCACATGGGGGACTCCATGGGCAATGCCCCACCACGGGCTGTTTGCGCTTTGGCTGCTTACCTTCTCCCCAATCTGCTCTGTGACGGCATCCAGCTCAAGGGACAATGTGTGTATCTCCAGGGCCTCTTCAAGCTGCCGCTGGTAGTGAAGCAGGTTGCCATGGAAACTGTGCCACCTAGCAGAGACGGTGTGAGGCTCAGTCTGAGGTGACCCTCTAGCCCCCTACCCTGCCCCACCATTTCTGGCTCTGGGACTAGCCTATTGTTGAGATGGTGTCGCCGCTGGCAGATGGTCCTGACTTGCTCGGGGTCCCTGTTCTTGAGCTGCAGTGACAAGTCATTGATGTTCCTGATGTAGGCATCATCCACCATGTCCTGTGTGAGACAGGATGAGGGCATTGGCACCAGCTGCTCCAAGCTCCTTCTTTGTGCTCCAGTCAGCACTTGGAGGGTCTGTTTGGGCCTGAGAGAGCGTGAGGAGCAGCTTGTCTGGGGAGTGGAGACAGCGGCTTCCTCCGCCATGGCCATCGTATCCCATCCCATTCTGGGATATACTAGGAGCCCCAGAGTTGTCTCTAAGGCTAGAAAAAACATGCTCCCTGGGTCATGACCAGGCAGGAGTGGGAGGGTGGGTATGTACTGATTAGTAGAAGCGTTTAAAGTTAAAATGCAGTTTCTTGGGATAAGAAAAGCAAAGCAAGGGGTAGAAGGAAATGGTGAGCTTGGGCCTCCTGGAGTTGGATGTCCCTATCACTGAGCTGAGGCTGCCACTGCTTAAGACAGTGGGTAGGGCTTAAAGGTATCTAGGGAGGAGCCCTTGACAGTGGGTGGGGTTCTCAGGCTTCCTGCCCTTGGTAAAACCACCTTGTATTTGCAGAGCTTGTTAAATTTCCAAAGCACTTCCCTATGAAGTGTCTTAGATCAGGTAGGCAGGGAAGAGGGTTCCTCTCCTTTTATAATTGCCAGAGCAGAGCGCAAAGGCTGATGTGGCTGCTTTGGGGCAGAGCCAGGATCAAGCCCAGCTCCTGAATCCAGTGTTCTTTCTACTACAGCATCTGGTATGGTGGCTGTGACATTCCTCCATTAGTAAAGGACATCTTAGCTTAGAGCTCTGCAGCCCTTTGAAAAATCATGTGTACTTAACATCAGGGGAATGCGTTTGGTCTCGAACATCTGATTGTGAATATATCTGTCCGATTTCCCCTACACCACGCCGAGAATAACAGATGTTTGGGGGTGTGTGTGCAGGGAAGTGAGAAGGAGATGCTGTGATGCTAAAGGACGGTTATCGATTATCTGCTATTTCCAGGCACACATGCATGTTTTTAATTTTAAATTTTGAAATAATTATAGATGCACAGGAAATTGCAAAAGTAGTATAGAGCGTCCCATGTATCCTTCCCTAGCTTCCCCCACTGGTTAACATCTTACATATCTACAGTATAATATGAAAACCAGGAAACACATTTGTCTATTAACTAGATTACAGATTTCGTTCAGAGTTCATCGGTTTCTACATGCACTCATGTGTATGTGTCTGGGGGGAGGTATAGTGCTCTGTAGTTTCATTACACGTATAGATCTGTGTAACTACCACGGCACATATTACTTTCTTACCTCTGTGTTATCCCCATTTTAAAGATGAAGAAACTAAGGCTCAGCAAGATGAGGAAGTCTGCCTAAGCACATGCAGGTAGAGTGTGGAGCTGACACTTGAGCCTACATATGGCTCCAGAGCCCATGCTCAGTCACTACTCTGAGCTGTACCTCCCAGTGCGGGGATGCGCTGGCTGACCTCTCCCAGGCATGGCCTCCTTACCCCGGCCCAGATTCCCCGGAACTCCCGGAGCTGTCTGCGGAGCTTCAGGCAGTGCTCCAGGTCCTGGCCCAGGTCACCGATGTTCACCATCACCTCCTGGGAGGGCAGAACTCTTGAGCATCAGCCCTGGTGTACCCAGCCCCCTAGCACCCAGCTGCTGGGGCAGCGTCAGGGTGAGTGGCGGCTTTGGGCACTTCCTGCCCAGGGAACCAGAGGCCTGCAGGCTTGGGGCTAGCCCCCATCCCTCAGCCGTACAACTTCACCCTCAGCTGTACAACTTCACCCTCAGCTCTGCCCCTGCCCAGCTGGGCCTCACCATGTCCTGGATCCAGGCCTCTGCACAGTCCACGCTCTGCAGGAACTTTAGGAAGTTCTGCATGTCCTCCAGGTCCTGGCCCTGGAGGGCCACCGCCTGCCTCAGCTTCTCCCAGTGTTTCTGCAGTGCCTGCAGCCTCTGGGAGACCTCTCCTGTCCAAGGATGGCTCTGTGCCAGGAGAGCCTCGCCCTCCTGGGGAGGCAGGGGACACCAGGAGATCATGATTGTTAAGTTACCCTTCCTCCTGCTTTTCTGCCATCACAGCCCTCACCCATCCTGCTTCCTGCCTAAGACCTTTCCCCTTGGCCATCCTGGAGTCCAACTTTGGGGCAGGGCTGGGGCTGAGGGCCTGGCTGTTACCTTGATGACAGCTGTTATGACATCCTCATGGGCCTGGACCTCAGCCTTGAAGGCCTGGTGCTTCTGCAGGTGCCTCAACTTATCTTTCAGATCTCCAGGAGGCAGTGGCTCTTCCAACTGCTGGACCCGCTCCTGAATCCAGTCCTCGGCCTGGTGGGGGTGGGGACATGGATTCTGAGATGCTGATATTGCCTTGGTCCACAGAGATGTCCCATTTACCCTTAGCTGTGTCCAGGTAGCTGACTGCTGGCCCCAAGGGCAGGGTTGGGCAGAGCCTGGTAAATGAGAACCAGTGATTCTAGACCAGGAAGACATGTCCCAGGCCCAGCTAGCCCTCCCCACTTCCCCCACAAGCCACAGGAAGGAGCCAGCAGGGCCTTTGAGTGGGAATTCATGCTGGGAGATGAGGCTTGCCTGGTCCTAGGCCCTGGATCACATTGCTCCCTCCCCTGCCTTTCTTTGCCACACAGCGCTGCAAGAGCTCAGGATGCAGTGGGCTCTCTGCACACAGGGTCTTCGACTCAAATGTTCTGGGCTTCAGCATGGCCTCTGGGAAAGCCATTTAACTCTCCAAACCTCAGTGTTCTCATTACAGGGTTGTGGTTAGGGCTGAAAGAGCCCAGGAAGGTGAATGTCATCTGTTAACTGTAAAAAGTGGCCCAATGGAAGGCACTAGGCTGAGTGGTTGCCCTCTGACCTGGGTCGTGGCCCTAGTGAAGCCAGCCATCAGCAGGGAGGTGTGCAGGGCCTGTCCTCGGGTCTCCGCCAGTTCCTTCACTCGAGCCCGATGTTCCAACACTGTGTGGAGCAGGTCCTGGACCCTGGGGCCTTGGAGTGTGTCTGCCTGCTCACACAGAGCTGCCTCCTGTGGGGCGGGGGCACAGCCTGCTGTTCTCTCATGCTGGTGAGTCTGGAGCAGGGGCTGGCCCACAGGGAAGCCCTTCCCTCAGGCCTTTGTGGCCTAAGGCTGACTTAAGGCTGGCCCATCTCCCAGCGAGCCAGAACCCAGTGACAAAATGATATGGGGCCAAATGGACTCTTTGCTCCTGCAGTGTGGCCCACCCCATTCAAGGACCTCTTGAGCCAAACATCTAACTCTGCTCAGTCAGCCCTAACCAGACACCCCTAGCCTCACAGGTCACCGTCCCCTGCAACACTGCCTATGGGTACACACCAAGCATACTGCATCCTCCTTTTGGGACTCTCCAAAGTTCCCAGACTCCCTCACCCTCTACCCCACCAACTCTGACAAGGCCCAGGACTCCCTGAGCCCAATACCTTCTCATCCTGGGCAGTCAGCACCTTCTGGAAGGTCTCATGCTTCCAGATCAACTGTTCTACCTCTTCTACGGAGCTCCCTAGGACACTGGTTTTCAGGGAGACCTGGATCAGCCCACGGAAAAGAAACAGAGGCCATCAGGGACTGTCCAGACAGCCAGTCTGCTCAGCCCCATTAGCAGCTGTCTGTGCTGAGGTGGTACAAGCCTCTGTGCTTCATATGGGAAAAAAGCCAGAGCCCCAAGGAGCAAGGAAGTGAGTTAGAGGGAGGGGAGATGGAGCAGAGAGAGCACTAGGATGTGTGTGTTGGGGTAAGGGCACCTGCCTCCTGGGCCGTGAGGGTTTCTTCCAGGTGACCACACTTCCTGAGGAAGAGCTGCTCCTGGTGTGTGGCCTGCAGCCTCTCTTGCTTCTGCTCCCAGGCCTGGAACAGCTGCTCCCGCCTGTCCTTCAGGGCCTGCAGCCCTTCCTGGACCTGGGGACAAGCATTTGGGAGCCTGTGCTAGGGGTTGCCGCATGGATGAGAGAGAAGCACATCCTGAGGGAGGCTTCTGAGGAGAGGCCTGTGCACAGTGGGGCAGGGCACAAGGAGGTCAGGCTCAGGCGAGGTCAGGGTAGGCTGGGGGGCACCAGAAAAGGGGGCCCACCTCCCTGATGGGTGTTCCTGCAGCCAGAAGTGCCTGCTGGCCCAGCTGGGTGGCCCGCTGGTGTAGCTCCTCCTGGGCCTCCAGTTCTGCCCGAAGCTGTTGGTGAATGCTGAGCTTTATCTGAACACTGCTGCCCTCTTGGGAGTTCTTCTCCTCTTGCAGCTCCTGCCATACACCAGCCACCCAGGACATGTAGTCCTGCACCTGGATCCCAAAGAGACGGAGGGAGAGAGCTGGGTGAGAAATGGGTCAGTGGCAGAGAACCAGGCTCTGAGGCACAACCACCTGGATCCACTCATTCATTGCAGTGGCCTGAGCTGTCCTGGGTCACAGCCTCAGGTGAGGCTCAGGGGCCCTTTGTCACCTGGTTCCTCTACTGTCATCTTACCCAGTCCTCCCAGGTCAACTAAATTCTCCATATCCAGCCCAGCCTCCCTGTCACCCTCACCAAGTCTTATCTCCCCCCTCTGCTTCTGCTGCCTCTCCTGCTTCAGAAGCTCTTCCTCCTTCCTTCTATCTCTTCCAAGCTCACACATTTTTTTAAGTGCCAAGGCCTTCTTTGCTTCATGAAGTCTTCCCTGGCACCTTGACATCTTACTACTCGCTTTGTCCTCTGGATTTCCAATTTAACGTAAACTACTTTTGTTGATTTGTGTACAAACACAATGTTAAAGCTGGTGGGGCCTTGGACCCTTGCCCAAACATCTCATTGCACAGATGAAGAAGGGTAAATGGCACCATGTGCATGAAAGAGCTTTGTAAACTTTGGGCACTCACAAACAGGCTAACGACCTAGAATTAAGTGTCTTGCTCAAGCCCACACATCTAGAAAGCGGCAGAATAGGGTCCCTAAACACAAACCTTTCCACAGTTATAGTTTGGGCTTTCTGGTCTACCAGGCACCAGGACGTGGGGACTCTGGGGGCATCCCACACCAGAGCCCACTGTCTCAACCTGACTCTCTTGGGTATTAGGCTCATCTCCTCATCTAGACAGGCTCCACGAGGGAAGTGGCTCTCTCTTACGCAGATTCTAGCACCGTCCTAGCACAGAGCTAAATGCACATGTTAAGTAGACACTGCTTATTCCCGAGGTCACCGTCTAGAACATCTGAGTCTCCAGTTACGGGCTTTCTTGGACCACTTTTATTTCTCAGCTCTGGCTGGGACCCTTGTCTCTTGACTGCCTTGTCACTCACCTGGGCTGGTGTTGACCCAAACCTGAACAGTCACTGCTATAACCCATGTGCTCAGCTCTCTGGCCAGCCAGACCAATATTCAGATGTGCTCATGCTCTCCCATTTCATGTCCATACTTTTCTCATTCCAGAGCTGGAGGGCCTCATAAGTGCATGTCCATGCATGGTATAACATGTACCCCCGCCCCCCCGCACACACACACATGTGCTGCCCCAGGGAAGGAGCCCTCACCGCTGTGTGGAAGCGGGCCAGGAGGCATGCCTGCTTCAGCTGACCCTTGCGCTGCTCCATGTGTAGTTTCAGGGCCTCCCAGGCCTGCACCAGTGCCCGCTGCCTCTGCTGCACTGCATGGGCCTGAGGGCCCAGCTTCTGCACCATGCCTCCTGTCTCCAGCAGCTCCTGCAGCTGGGCTCAGGGTAAGGTATAGGGAGGGAAGAGTCATATCCTCCAAGAGGCAGAAGGGCCTGCCCATCCCACAGATTCCTCCTTGGGCCATGCCCTGCTGTATGTGATGGGGCCCAAATATAAGTCCCAAGGGAGTATAGAAAATCGAGAAGAACAGCTGGGCAGACCTGAGGGGGCTGCAGGGGCCCGAGTGAGAGAGGCAGCCAGACCTAAGCTTACCTGCCGCTCAGTGCCCACAAGTTCGTGCTCTAGCCCCTCGTGTCTCCTCGTCTGGGCCTCTAGTCCACGCAAGTCCTGGGCCAAGTCACTGGGGAGGCTTGTGGCTTTCTCCTGAGGAGAAGACATGGCCCAGAGGATTAGGAATGGAAGGTGGAGCACAGCCTGGGGTGGATCCACTTCTAGAAAGAATCCCCTCTCTCCCCTGGGCTCACACCTGGATCTGGGTGAGGGCTTCCGACAGATCTCTGTGCACTCTGAGAGTGATCTCGGCATCTCTGAGCAGCTGGCCTCGGGCCTGGGTCAGCTCCCATAGCTCCGACCAGGCAGCCCTGCCCCAAGGCATGCAAGAGACCAGCAACACATCAGCTATTGACCCAGCATTGCGTTCCGCCCCCTTGCTAAGTCTGGCCAGCTCTTCGCCTCTCTGGGTGTTTCCAGGACTGGCCCAAAACTCCTCTCCTGCCTCTGGCCCTGCCTGCAGACCTTCCTCCCTGGAACCCATCTTTCCAACTTTACTATGAATTCAATCCTTTGCTGCTATCAAGTTCAGTATTTAGTTGATTTCTATTCCTTGCGGCACTCCTTCCATCTTGTGTGTTCCAGTCTGAATATTATCAATCGATTATAAACGCTTGGAAGCACAGGCCATGTCTTCTTTCCATTTCTCATTAACTCTGCAAACTCTCACTGAATTCCTAAGGCTCCTGCCAGGGCAGGCTCTGTGCTAGGGGTTATGAACAAGTCATGACCTTTCCTCACGGTACACAGGCTAGGGGTGGATCCAAACTTGCTAGGTAGGCAGCTAGGCAGTCTTCCCTCAGCTTATCCTCCAGGTCCTGGGAGCCAGTGGTTTGAAAGAGTGCCCCTGGGGGTCTGGGCAGAGCTCTTGGATTTGCACTCCCAGCCTCACCTTCCTGCACAGGCCAAGGCCACATGTGGCTGGTTCAGTTTCCCTGGACCAGCCTTCTGCAGACTCCTCGTGGGCAGGCAGAGACATATGGTCCTCAGAGCATGCTGCCCGCTCTCTTAACACTCTAAGAACTGCCTGCCCTGCACATTCCCCAAACCTACACTCCTGGCCGGGCCTGCTGGGCACTTACTGCAGCTCCTGCTGCCTCCGACGGGCCTTGGGAGCAGTGCTGTGCCCACGCTCCAGCATCGTCTCCACCAGGTGCTGGCAGATTGCCACTTGCTGCCGGCCCATCTCCACTTGGTGCTGAAACTTTGCAAACTTGGTGCAGAGGTGCTAAGAAAAAGAGGAATGGGTGACAGGGTGGCAAGGCAGCAAGCAGCCTGGAAGTGAGGTGTCAGTGACGTCTCAGCAATGTGGGGTTAGACAGCTGCAGCACTTGCCCACTCTATTCAGAGATCTGTCCTTAGCCAGGCCTCATAATTTCCGTGGCCCCTTTCTCCACGCAGCCCAGCTCCCAGCCTTCTGCCTCAGGGCTCCTCCTTGCCCCAGCCCTCTTCTCACCAGGACGTGCTCATGGTCCTCTCCGAGGCTTTCCTCTCCTCTGGCCGCCTGTGTCTGGCTAGCTAGCCAGCTCTGCAGCTCCTCAGCTTCCCTCATGAACTCGTGCAGCTTCAGGGTGCCCTCCAGTTCTCGGTCCCTGTGGGGATGGCCCATGGTTCCCCAGAAGTTAGGTGCCTACCCTCCTGGGGACAACTGGTCAAGCCACAGGGGGTGACCTGAAGGAAGAGGTTATTCATGTTCTCTGCCCAAGCCTGTGGCTCTGGATTCAGGGATAAGTAAATACAGGAAGGCCAGTGTAGTAGGGCAGGAAAGGTATGGATGTGGGGAAGAGATGGCTCGCTGGAAGCTGGAGGTGCATGTTCCTGCCCAGAGGGCCATCACTGAGGAATTTATGGAAGGAGATGAGCAACACATAGCAAGGACTCATCTGACACATCTCTGTGGGCCTGAGGTCATGGGTTCCTTCCAACTCAGGGTTGCGGTATGGGATCGTACAGTCAACCATGGCTAGACCCCCTGTACCCAGACGGGGTGCAAGGTTTCTCTCACCGTGAGGCTGCCAACTCCTGCAGCACCTGTAGTTGCCCCCGGAGCCTCTCTTGCACCATGCCCAGCTGCTCAGGGGCCTCGGGGCCACTGAGGGTGTGGACCCTCTGGTCAAGCTTCTCCATGGAGCTCCAATAAAGAGCCAGTTCTTGTTGCAGGGCCTGCCAGCACACAAGGACTCAGGCCAGGCTCAGATTGGGTGACTCTTTTATCTGTCCACCCACCTATCTATTTACCTATTGATCACACACACGCCCATCTCCCCACATCCTCTCATCCACTTCTAGCCCAACTGTCCACTCATGGCTCCATCACCCACCTACCTATTCTGATGGAGTTCTTACTGTTCCATAAAAGTGAAGACATGGACTGTGGCCTCAGAGGGCTCACTATTTACAGGGAAGGGTGAATGCTGGGTAATCACAGTATAAGAGATGGAAAGAGTTAAGCAAAGCACCCAGGATGCCCGAGACACTGAAGCTCCATGAGGCCACGGCTACAGGCCTCTCAGGAATGGCTCATGGAAAGTCCTCAGTCGCAGGACACTGAAACACTGGCCACTAGGGCTGTGCAGAAAAAGTGCCCAGACAAGAGGACACTTCAGTGACAGCAGGAACCAGGATTGCTCCGGTTCAGGTTTTGGGGCTTGTGTGGTCCTGAGGGCCTGATCCCAGGAGAGGTGTTCTAGGTCTCCTTTTGATTGGAGTATTTGTGTGGGGGGGAGGGAGGTTTCAGGAAAGGCATTTGGTTAACTCAAAGGATGATATTCAGAGCATGGGAGGAAGAAGAACCCTGTGGAAGATGAGAAGAGGCCTAGAATGAGCGACCCCAAAAGAGAGTAGAAAGGTGCCGGGGAAGGAGAGGAAGCAAGAGGAGAAGGCAGAGAAGTCCCGAGGCCATGGAGATAGACTAGGACAGAGACTAAAGAGGGGGATGGGTCCCTCAAAGGGGCTGCCTCTGAAGAAGGGGGGCACTGGGCAAGAGCAGGGACCCTGCGGGATTTGGGTGAGTGGTGGGGAAGGGGCCGGCTGTGTCTTCTGGAAGAAAGAGCAGGGCTCTGTGCCTCTGAGAAATAGGAAGTGCCCTTTGGGTGTGTGATAGAAGTTTCTCTGATGGCCCATCATCGCCCAAGTCCAGACTGTGTGGAGGATGCTCAGGATATGGTACCTGGTGCTTCTTAATGAGCCTGGTGGTGCCTGCCTCGTCTTCACCGTAGTCCTGACTGCTCACCAGTGGCCACTTCTCCTCCGCCCAGCCCTCCACCTCTGACACATCCAGAAAATACTGCCAAGGATAGTGTCAACTCACCTCGATGAACTCAGATGGGACCCCTCCATCAATGCTTAGGGACATCATGCTAGGCCCTCCAGTGGCCAGCACAAAGAGGCTTCTGTGTCCATACAGGGACCAGCCAGGTCCTGGCCCAGAGTTCTCATCACTGACCCACCTCCCAGAGAGTCCCAGGTCCCGCAGACCTCATTCATTGAGACTGCCTACTTTGGCCACTTTGCCCGACCTGTGCTCTCTACATCCTACCTGCTGGAGAGTGACAGCCTGCTGCAAGCACTCGGCCCGCTCCTCACACGCCTGCTCCAGCTCTGCCCAGCGGCCTTCCAGTTCCTGGCAGTGCTCCATGATATGCAAGGCTTGGGGGTGCCCCGAGGCTGCTAGGCTCTGTCCAGAACCCAGCACCTGCTGCACCTGTCCCTGGTGAGCTTTCACCTCCGCCCGGAGCTCCTGCCATGGAATAGCACGAGGGGCTGTTCCCAGATTCCCTTGGCCACAGGGTGCCCAGAACAGAGCCATAGATGTGGCTCCGGGCCCCAAACATGGAAAAGCTCCCAGACAGAGAACAGCTAGGAGCAGAGACTTGGAAAGAAGGACACTCTGAGTAGCAGCGGAGAGCTTCCAAGGCCTGGGAATAGGGCATCAGGGGTCCTGGGAGGAAAAGGGGGCCATTACCTTGTGCTTGTGGCAAAGGCTCAGAGCATCATCCAAGCACGTGGTGGAGCTGGCAGAGCTTGCACTGGGCATATGCTCAGCTACCCACGTGAGCTCCAAGGTGATCAAGTGGTAGAACTGGTACAGCTCAACCGAGGCCTGTAGCTGCAGACGCCGGGCGGCCAGACATCCCTGCAGGGACTCCAACCTAAGTGGAGGCAGAAGAGATGAAAGAGGTTGGGGACGGGTGAGAACAAACCTTCAGTCCTTTCTGCGGCCCAGCCTGGGACCTGTGAGGAACAAGGTGGGGTACGGCGGAAATTTGATGGTAGGAGGCAGCTAGAGAGGGCCCACGGCCCAACCTCCTGCCCAAATGACTTCAGATCATGGGGTGCCTCAGCTGCCTTAGTTGGGGTCTCTGACTCTCCTAGCCTGGGAATGACTGTAGCACACCATATTCACCCAAAAAGAAAAGGGATTTGGACAACCTCAGTGCTGGAGGTGCCGCTTTGCTGGGCTCACTGGGTAAAACTGCCCTTACGTTCACATGGGAGGGTAACACATGGTGAGGTGAAGATGGAACAAGCAGGCGAGTACCTCTGGAGATACTTTTGGGTCTCCTCCATGATGGGCTGGGAATTGACCACCTGGTGGGCCTGGGCGACTAGGGCAGCCATTTTGCTGGCCAATGCCTGGCTCTCGCTCTCCAGCTGGCGGTGCTGTTTCTGCAGCCCCCGGCTGGAGCACAGGTCCTGCCCTGTTTCTGCTCCCTGTAGGGCCCCCTCCAGCTGCTCCATCTTCTCCTTAGCATCCTGGGGAGGGACAATGGTGCTGCATTGGGCTCTCCACATACAAGCTAGCAAATGGCCCTTCTTGGGCTCTAGGACTGAGTGCTTGTAGCACACCATATTCACCCAGAACTCACTGTAACCTCTGTCCCCACCATTTCCACCCGCCCCCCCTCAGCAGCAGCGCCCAAACCATGAGGTTCCCCTGGAACCTCATGAGCACCCCTGTCTCCTCACACTTTTTTTCTCCCTGGGGAACTCAAGCTGTATTAACCATATGCTGGGCACACAAGAGAAAATCTCATATTTGCCTGCTGGTGGGCAAAACCAGGCTCGACTTGCCATAGGCCAGAGGCCTCCAAAGGCTGCAGGACATCCTAGGGTCTCTCCAGAGTCAGCAGAACATCCAGATTCCTCCTCTCCCTTCCTCATCCTGCCTGTTCCCAGCCCAGCCTTGATCTCTGTCCTGTGCTCTGCCCGTCTCTTCATCTGACCTGTAGCAGTGCGAGGAGCTGGTCCCGCTGCCTTGCCTGCTGGAGCTGCTCCCTACGCTCTGCCATCTTGCGGTTCAACTCTTCCCACTGGCTACTCAGGCCCTGAAGCCTGGCCTGCACGTCCTCCTGGACACAAGGCTTGCTGCTCGACAGTTCTCTGCCAATCTGCAGTGGACACAAAGGCCCAGGGAGTCATGTTGAGCTGCTGGTACCATGAGCAGTTTCAGCAGGCTAGACCCCGGTGGCAGAGGTGGGCGTGCCTGGCTACAAGGTGCATTTTACAGGCTGCAGGGGCTTGTGCAGTTCATATGTCCCTAATCTGTGAGCAAAGGTGGGAGAGTTTTCCTCTGATGCCCACAAGTAGCTCAGGGGGAGAAGGCATCTGGCCAATGGTGGGGAAGGTCTTTGTTCAGGTGGAGGAAGCAGGCTCTGGAGCATATCTGGAAAGTTGAAGGAAAGGGAAGACAGAAGGTTTTGGGGCTGGTTTGGGTGCCCAGACCAGGGGCTGCCCAGCTGAGTGAAGGAGGAAGCTGGGGGATCCTAATTGCATGGTAACTGAAGTCAATTCTTCCTTCAATGAGTGTGTTCCATGAAAACATCCTGTGCAGCTGGGCAGGGAACTTGAAGATGAGTAGGCCCTGCACCCTCTGTCCAGTGCCCCTACCTGCTGCAGGCCCTCCACGTGCCCATGGGTGGCCAGCAGCTCACGCTCAGCTGCTTCATGCCTCTTGAGTTTCTGCAGGATGTTGCTAGGCTCCTGGGAGGGCTCATCCACTACCACCAGCCCCTTCTCCTTCATCCAGAGCATCAGCTCCATCACGTCCTGCTTCCATTCCTGCCCAAGACCCAGGAGAGAGTAGGTCTCAGAGACCAGGGGTAAGGGCTGGCATAAGGACCTCTATGAGAACAGTCTAAGGGACCCTTGTGGGAAGAGCAGGACCAGAGCCAATCCTAGGGTGCAAGAGAGGCGGGGCTTTGGGTTACTACTCCCAAGTGGGGACAGGAAAATCACGATTGTGAGGGAAATGTTTCAGGGAAAGCAGTAGGAGGAGGCTGAGGGAGTAAGGGCCTGGACCCTAAGGCACCCTGTTCTGGCAGGAGTGCCTGGTCAGCCAGAAACACTGCAGCCCACGTAAGATCACATATGGCCATCTCTCTCCAAACAGGCTTAAGCTCTGGGAGGGCCATAGTCTGGTCAAGCTCTGAGCCCCTAAGATTGGTAGAACAAATATCTGACAGAGCCAAAGTCTGCAGCTGGTACCCATGGAAGAGCCTAGAGTGTGGCCAGAAACAATGGGGAAGGGGAATAACCAGATGAGGAAGGGCATTATTCAAGACTTTGGGCCCAGCCCTGTCTCCCAGCAGTGCGGCTTCAGCCTCAGTTTTCCTTATCTGGAAAAATCAGAGCCATAATGCCTGTCCCATGAGGGATGCTGTGAGGGTCAGTGACATAACGTGTCCCCTTATCCAGTCACCTGTGCAGTGTGCAATGCGCGGGAGGAGGAGAAGGGACGAAGCCATGGTGGAGACGATCACCTAGGCCTGCCCGGCCCAGCCCTGTCTCCCAGCAGTGCGGCTTCAGCCTCAGTTTTCCTTATCTGGAAAAATCAGAGCCATAATGCCTGTCCCATGAGGGATGCTGTGAGGGTCAGTGACATAACGTGTGAGAAAGTGCTTTATGAAGTGTAAAGTGCTCTGCACAGTTATTAGTGCAGCAGCGGACTCTTAGGCATTCCTCTAGGGTAGGCCTCATGCACCTGGTCGTGCCCCTCACCTGGAACTGGAGGGAAGCCAGCAGCTGCCTCCTTCTCTGCTCACACCTCTCCTGGACCCTGGTCCACTGCTCCTGGACACTCTGCAGCTTCTCTCTGACCCTGGAGGGAACATTGAGGAGGGGGAGGGTATGGGGAGGGCTCTATAATGTCTGAGATCCACCCCAAAGTTCAGCCCAGGCAGCCCGGAGTACCCCTTCCCATTCCCCACTACTCTCCACCCACTCTCCCAGCGTCAGAGCAAGAGGCTGTGCAGTCTGAGAAACAGTGGCAGGTGCTGGCCTGACAGGCCCAGGCTCACTTGTGTGCAGCAGGGTGTTGGCTCTGAGCCAGCTTCTTGCCACGTGCCTGCAGAGCCTCTGCCCGAGGGCCCAGTATGCTGAGGAGCCGCCCAAACTGCTGGTGTTGCTGCAGCAGGCTCTGGGCCTCTCCCACATCCTCCTGGGGGTGCAGAGACCTGAGGTCATGTCTGGGACAATGGGGGTCGGCACCATCTCGCCCACCACCAGCCCAGGGGTCTCCTGCCCAGCCTGGCTTCTAAGCTCCCTCCAGTGATGGGGAAGCAGCACCTAGCTGGACATCCCTGGATCCATACCCCAAGGTTGTCCAGCTGCAGGAAGGCCTCATGCTTGGAACAGGTGGCAGTGAAACCATCCACTTCTTGGCCAAACTTCTGCAGCTCCAGCCCCTCCTGCAGCTGCTGCTGTCTCTGCTCCCAGGCAGCCTTTAACCCCTGGCCTTGCTGGCTCAGGAGACTCAGAGCATTGATCACCTCTTGGGAGTCTGTGGAGCCCAAGGCTGCCATGGGCTCGCCCTGAGCCTTTAGCTGCTGCAGCCTGGCCAGGACGACAGGCAGAGGGTCAAAGCCCATCCCTCCTCTCACCAACCTTCCTCTCACTTCGCCTCCATGGTCATTTATCTCAGAGCTCTGATGTGAGGGTAGCTGGAGGGTATCTGAGGCTGGTTAGCCCCAGTGGTTCACTTGTCTTGTGGGACAGCTGTGCCCTGGCCCACTAGTGAGACACTGAACATCACAGACTCAGCACAGTGCTTAGGACTCAATAGTTCTCATACTCCCTGCCATGTCATACCCTTGCTCTAGCTGGCCAATGCCCAGGCAAGTAGAGGGGCTGAGGCAGCACAACACAGAAAAATCACTCAAACCACACACATGCCTGACTGTAGGGCTACTGCAAGCCCATGTGGAGACTCAATGAATTAGAAAAGGCTCCCTTCTCAGTTGGGTGCAGCCCACAAGTACATGACTTGGGAATGGGTAACAGCTTGGTGTGAATTAGAAAAAGGTTCCACTTCTCTGAGCTTTTGCAGCCCTGAACCAGGTAGTTTGGTGAACAGGGGATGGGATGGACTCAGTGCTTACTAGGCAACTTGTCAGGCTCCCTTGTGCAGGCAGGCCATGCAACTGTACTCGGTGACTTTGCCTGCCTGTCAGGCCCAAACCATGAACTATGTAGAAGAGTCATCGCCATACTGAGGACGTAGGTATCTTAGTCCATGGGGGTCCTGGGCCATTTGCCTCCAGGGGCAAATGGGATCTGTGTTACCCAGCATAGCTGAAAGGCTGGGCCACCCTGACTGAAATCAATCCATCAGTCTCACCTGCATGGGGTGTGACCAGGCCTGGACTGACTAGAACTTCCTAGGCAGCTCAGTTTCTGTCCTCGGTCCCTTCCTGAAGTGTGCAGGATGCCTGGCCAGTCCTTGGTTACATCTTCCCTCCTCGAAAACCTGCCTCGAGCATCATGCTAAACACCAGCTTGGGCCAACCCCCTGGGTGATGCACTGTTTCCTGCCTGTCTTTTTCTGGTGGCCTGTCCCCATGGGCCTTGGCCAGCCCCAAGTGCGCCTTGTCTGTTCTCCGGTACTGACCTCTCCTGCTGCAGGTGAATCTCCTCTAGCAGGTCTCGGTGTTCCTCCAGTAGCCGCTGGGCTGAGGTCATGTCCACCACCTCCTCCTTGCTGTGTAGCTGAGCCTGGACACCCTCCGCCCACAGCAGCAGCTGCTGGCTCTCCTGCAAGAAGCTCTGCCGAGCTTGCCTCTGGGCCTGGGCCTGGGTCTGCTGGGCCACTTGCTTCCATACACTCTTCAGTAGCCCCTGCAGCATCTCCACCTGCTCTTGTAGGGACTGGCTCTCTGTGGGGCCTGACTCCTTGACTCTGGGAGATGGGCCCAGCATTTAGTCAGTGCCCTCTCCTGGGCCCAGTAAGCAGGCCTAGTATTCCCCAGGGAATGTGCAACTACTCTGAACTCCCGCCTCACTGTCGACTGAGGGGCACCTCGCGCGTGAGACCCTGTGAGCATTTCCTCATGCTCTTCCCCCACCTTTTCCCCTGCCCTTCAGGGGGCACATCCCACCCATCCTGACCCACCCCAACCTCTGGCCCCTTTCTCATTCTGTAACCCTGCTCCAGTCTTCCCTCCCTCCCGGAGCACCATCGCCATGCCCAACCCAGGCCATACTTTATGGCCACCCTTTGCAGGTAGTGGATGGACCTCTCCAGTGCTAGTATCTTCTGCTGGGCCAGTTTCAGGATACGGTGACTGTGCTCTGAGTGCCCAGGCTCCAGGGCTTCCAGCTGAAGTATCACATCTTGCAGCTGGACCTGTGTGGGTCCACATTCCTGCATAAAACTATACACATCCATGGTGTACACCAGCTGCATTTCTTTCTCTTTCTTCAGGGCCTCCAGCTGCCTCCACCTGGGTAGAAGGAGCAAGATGTCTCCATCACAGGGATACCTCCCTGTCCATCCTAGGGCCTTGGCAAGAAGCTCACATTACAGAAGCTGCCAGGCTGGCAGTCCCCACGCCCTCCCCTCCCTGCCTCTGACATATCCAGTCCTTCTTTCTGGTATTTTGGAAGGCAGGTGAGAGGGCATTGCATCTAGCCTACCCCTATTGCCCTGTACTCCCTCCTCATTCTCACCTTTGGCCCAGTTCCTCATGCTGTCGCTGGATTTTGGGGGAATCTCCAGGACATCTCTGCTTCAGTTGCTCAACAGAGCTGCTGACCTCAGCCCAGTGGTCCTTTCCCACAGCCAGGGCAGTGAGAAAGTTCTAGGGAAAGGAGGACCCAGGCCTTGAGTGGGCTTATTCTCTTTCCACACTCCTCTCAAGATTATGAATGACCTTGGACATACTGTGCTATAGAGGTGTGTTCCAACTGCATCCTTCTGGAAGAACAAGGGTTTGCGTCTTTAAAAGGACTTTTAAAAATTCAAGGCCAAGTATCCAAATTGAAAAGGAAGAAGTAAAATTGTAACTACTTACAGATGACATGATATATAGAAAACCCTAAAGATTTCACCAAAAACTGTTAGAATAAATTCAGTAAAGTTGTAGAGTACAAAATCGATATACATAAATCTGTTGCATTTTTATAGACTAATAAATTAAGAAATTATAGACTAATAAATTAATAAATAGAAATTAAGAAAACAATCCCATTTATAAATGCATCAAAAAGAATAAAATACCTAAGAATAAATTTAACCAAAGAGTGAAAGACCTGTACACTGAAAACTATAAGATATCGATGAAAGAAATTGAAGAAGACACAGATAAATGGAAAGATATTCCATGTTCATGGATTAGAAGAATTAATATTGTTAAAACGTTCATACTACCCAAAGCAATCTAGATTCAGTGCTATTTCTATCAAATTTCCAAAGGCATTTTTCATAGAAATAGAACAAACAATCCTATAATTTGTATGGAACCACAGAAGACCCTAAATAACAAAAGCAATCTTGACAAAGAACAAAGCTGAAGGAATCAAGCTCCCTGATTTCAAACTAAAGTATATTACAAAACTATAGTAATCAGACACATGGATCAGTGGAACAGAAAGAATAGAGAGACCAAAAATAAACCCACACCTGTATGGGTCAACTTTATTACAAAAGAACCAAGAATATACAATCAGGAAAGAACAGCCTCTTTAATAAATGGTGCTGGGAAAACTGGACAGCCATATGTAAAGAATGAAACTGGACCACTATTTTACACTATACACAAACATTAACTCAAAATGGATTAAAGACTTGAAGGTAAGACTTGAAACCATAAAACTCCTAGAAGAAAACAAAGATGTTAATTTCCTCGACATTGGTCTTGGCAATGATTTCTTGCATTTGATACTAAAAGCAAGGGCAATAAAGCAAAAAAACCCAAATAAACAAAAAACAAAAAGAAAAACAAATGAGACTACATCAAACTAAAAAGCTTCTGCACAGTGAACAAAACCATTAACAAAATGAAAAGGCAACCTACTGAATGAAAGAAAATATTTGCAAATTATATATCTGATAAGGGTACATCTAAAATATATACAGAACCCATACGACTTAATAGTAAAAAAACCCAAACACTATTTGATTAAAAAAAAAAAACGGGCAGAGGATCTGAAGAAACATTTTTCAAAGAAGATACATGGATGGCCAACAGGTACATGAAAAGGTGCTCAACATCACTCATCACCAGGGGAATGCAAACTGAAACCATAATGAGATATTACCTCACACCTGTCAGAATGGTTATTCTTAAAAAGACAAGAAATAAGTGTCGGCAAGGATGTAGAGTAAAGAGAATCCTTGTGTGCTGTTGGTGGGAATTTAAATTGGTGCAGCCACTATGGAGAACAGTATAGATGTTCCTCAAAAAATTAAAGTTAGAACTACCACATGATTCAGCAATTCCACTTCCAGGTATTTATCTGCAGAAAACGAAAACACTAACTTGAAAAGATATATGCAACCCCATGTTCATTGTAGCATTATTTATAACAGCCAAGTTTTAGAATGACTTAAGTGTCCATCAACACAAGTGGATGAATAGATAAAGAAAATGTGATACATACAAACACATACACAATGGAATATTATTCAGCCATAAAAAAGAATAAAATTTTGCCACTTGGGACAACATGGATGGACCTTGAGGGCATTATGCTAAGTGGAATAAGCCAGACAGAGAAAGGCAAATACCACCTAATCTCACTTATATGTGAGATTAAAAAAAAAAAAGCTTATAGATAAAGAGAACAGGTTAGTGGTTGCTGGAGGCAGTGGGTGGAAGGTAGTCAAACTGGGTGAAGGGAGTCAAAAGGTACAAACTTCCAGTTATAAAATAAATGTCATGGAGATGTAATGTACAGCATGACTACTATAGTGAATACTAGATTTCATATTTGAAAGTAGCTAAGAGATCGAATCTTAAAAATTCTCATCACAAGAAAATCCTTCTATAACTTTATATGGCGACAGATGTTAACTAGACTTCTTGTGCTATCATTTCACGATGTATACAAATATTGAATCATTACGTTGTATACGTGAAACTAATACAATGTTGTATGTCAATTAGATCTCAATAAAAATAATTCAAGGCCAGCTCCTCTGCTCCCTCCTCCCAGGCAGGACTGTAGCTAACATGGAGAACTGAGGCACAGGAATGAACAATGGGGAGGCAGGAACAAGGTGAGGAGGGAAGACATAAATAAGGAGGCAGCAGGGCCAAGCAACTAAAATCCCCCCTCGGCTCCAAGGGGACTGTACCTCAAATTTGAGCTGCATGACGTCTAAGTTGTCAGCCTGGGGCTGCAGTGTCCTGAGCAGTGCTGTCTGGTTCTCCAGCCAGGACTTGAGCTCTTCACATGAGCCATAGAAACCAAACAGAGCCACTGCCTCCTCCAACTGGGCCTTGCGGTGCTGGGGAGAGGCCAGCCCAGAGGCTGGGGTAAGGGTCAATGCCCTATTGGGCGCTTAAAACAGAGGACGTCCCCTTCACTCCCCCGCTGCCAGCAGAGCTCAGGGCCAAGGCCAGAGGGGTCTCCACCCCACTGCTGGGCCCTAGGCCCTCTGTGAGGGGTCCAGTGGTGGTGGTGGGGGGAGTGCTGGAAAGACCTTAGTGGGTAAAGGGCCCTGGCAGTGTGCTCTTGTGATCTTGTCCTGCTCAAGCCTTCAGCTTTTAGATACAATCCATACTTCTACCTTGAGGCCTGGCCAGGCCTACCTCTTCCCCAGGCTTTCCTTTAGCCATTTGCCACTCCCCAACTCTCCTCTGTGCACCAGGCGCCTTGGCCTTCACGCCTCCATTGGGCCTTGCTCCTGCCTTTTCATGGGTGCTGCCCATGAAATACTGTCTCCCTGTCATCTCCCCTGCCTTCCTCCTGGCTTTACCTGCTGCTCTCAGCTTCTTGTTGTTCAACCTCAGCCCAAAGTCCTTCCCTCTGAGATGCCTTCCCTGACTCCCCGGCCTGACCTGGGCTCCCCTCTCCTATGTTCCTATCGCACCCGCATCCACCTTGTGACTCGTTTCACACCTTCTCTGCCATGATGTGAGCTCCTTGAGGGCAGGGAGCACACAGTCACTGCCCTGTCCCTGAGCTCACGACTCAGGGCGTAGCACAGAGTAGGTGCTTCATGAACATTCCTTGAACGAGTATTACCTCTGCCAGGGCCTGCAGGCCCTCATAATCCTGGTTCAAGCGGTCCTGTGTCTGAAGTATGGTGTTGGGGTCAAAGTCAGCGTCAGGCTTAGCTGGGAGGGCCATCTTCTGGACACCCCAGGGGCCAGAGTGGCAGGAAACCTCACACCAGGCCCCCAGGCTCCTCGGACCTTCCCTTGGAGAACTCAGGGCAGACACTACCTGTGCCGACAAGACACAGGGCAGTGTAACTAGAGGCGGTCCCCCTAAACAGCAGAAGGCTTGGCAGGTTTGGGCCAGTGGTAGTACCTGGGGTTCCTGCTCCATGACGTGGCTGATGGGCACCCTAGTGGGGCTGGGCCAACCTGCCCACCATGCATGTGTGTTTTAAAAACTATGGGCTCAGAGAACTGAGGGAGAGTTTTCAGAAAGCATTTGGTGTAGCGATTAGGCCACCCCAAACCTATAAGAACCAAATCAGATGAGCGCTCGAGCCAAACTCTTAAGGATGAAAGGGAAGGAGGCATTGCTGAAGGAATTTGATTATTGCCTGGAAACCGGTGGGCAAAGTGAGCCGAGCCACACTACACTTGGATGACGTCCATAGGCGTGGGCAGACAGTAGTCCTTAACTTTGGGCAGGGGCAGCAGGGGAGATACTCTTGAGGTGGTGGGGCGCACGCAGGCCCAGAGGAAGGCCACGATTCCAGAGTCAGCGGCCACAAATGCCCTCCCATTTCTACCCTCTGTGCGGCCATGGGAGACGGGGTGCAGCGCATTTGGTGTAGGAAGCCTGTAGCTCTGTGTCCCTTTCTCTCCCCAACCCCGCCCCCACCAACACACACCGTGAGGGATGCCCTCGCCGCGGCAGCCCGTGCCTGATCGTCCAACTGCTGCAGCTCAGCCCGGAAGGCCCGCAGGGTGGGTTCCAGCCGCAGGTGGCCCAGCAGCAGGGCCTCAGTGCTGGCCTGGTCCTGTCCGCAGGACGTGCTTTCCAGAGCTGACCGCTGCTCCAGTAGCCATGTGGCCGCGTCTGCTGCGTCTGCGAAGTACTGCAGGCAGAAGGAAGGGCTGGGCGCCGGACCCTGAACACTCCGCCCCGCTGCCCACCACCTACCGCCCGGATACCTTTTGGACGAGCAGGGCTGCCTGCAGCCATGCGCTCTGTCTCGCCACCTGGGCCCGGAGCTGCTGCCACAGGTCCTGCACCGCTTCTGCCCACTCCTGGGGATCTGGTCGGGTCAGGGGCCCGCGTGCGCTTAGGTCTCGTCCCCTCCTCTCGATATCAGCGCACACGACCTGGTGGCTGCGCAGCTCGCCCTCCAGGGCCTGGCGGAGCGCAGAGTGGTGAGCTGGCTGAGGGTAAAGTTGGGGCGGCAGGGAGATGGGGATGGGCAGGGCACAGGGGAGCAGGCACCTTATGTTTCTGCAGGGTGGCAGCAATCTGGCCAAGATCCCCGCCCAGGGTCACATCCTCCACCATCCGCATGCGCTCCCTCAACCAGGATTCCTCCTCCTCACAGTTGTGCAGGAACTCCGCCCGCTGCAGGGTCTGCTCCAGCAAGGCCCTCCTGAGGGACAGCAAGGATCATTGAAGGGCTAGGAGCGGGGTTCCCCAGTAGGCTCAGACACTCCCTCTTAGGTAGACAGGAGTTTACTTTTCCCTGGATGACTCAACAGGGGAGACAGAGGCCTTGGGGATGAGGAAGTTGCCATGCTGGCAGTATTTTAACCTGGGCAGGAGGTAACTTGTGTTATAGAAAAGTTCTGGAGAAGATAGAGGTGTTGGGGCGAGCTTTTACCTGGCCTTGACAAGAGACACGAGGCTCTGGTGGAGCTGGGCCAGCGCCTGGACTTTGGCCTGTAGCATCTCCACACTAGTGCCCAGGGAGGAGTCCAGTGCCATGGTCTGGTAGGCAAGATGGCTCACATGGGCTCCGTGGCCTGAGACCTGGGCCTCCAGCAGGTCATGCCTGTGCAGCAGCTCCACTACCTCTGCCAATTGTTGCCCACAGGCCGTGGAGCTGGCTGGCACCTGGCCAGGGACAAGTGGTCATTGCCGTCCCAGGATGCTGGGTCCCCATGAGTGCCAGAGCTGGCACACCTGCTGTGTTCCCCAAGGGTCTGCTGGTCCAGGGCCCACCTGCAGCTCCCTGAGCTGGTCGGAGGCAGTCTCCACTTCCTGCAGCAGGCTCAGCACAGCCTGCACGCCTGCCATCCACTTCCTCTGCTCTTGGAGATGCTGAAGGAGCCGTTCCCAGCGCCGTGTGATCTCTAACTGCCTGGAGGACATGAGAACAAGGGTGGTCTCCACCGGCTGGGGTAGGGAAGCTGCCTTGGGACTCACAGCTGGTCTGGTGGCTTGATTGCCCTGGAGGAGCCTGAGCCTCCGAAGGGTGGTCTCCACCGGCTGGGGTAGGGAAGCTGCTTTGGGACTCACAGCAGCTGGTCTGGTGGCTTGATTGCCCTGGTGGAGCCTGAGCCTCCTGGATGAGGTCTGTGAGCATCCCAGTCTTGGGCGGTAGGAGCAGTGCATCCCTGCCTCTCAGACCCACGACGAGAAGCCAGGAGGGTCTGGAAGGATTAGGCCTTCACAGCCCCCGCAAGCGTTGTATACAGTCCCCATCTCAAGTGATAGCAATGCCATCCTCCCAGGTGCCCGAACTAAAATCTTGATAACTCATTCTCATACCCCACATCTGATCTGTCTGCAGATCCTCTTGGATTCAAAATATGTCCAGAATTCCACCATTTCTGGCCAGGATTATTAGAATAGCTTCCTAACTGCTCTCTCTGCTTCTGCCTTTGCCCCTTCAGTCTGTTCCTGACATGGCACCCAGAATGATCATTGTAAAACAAAAATTAGGTTGTGTCCCTCCCCTGCTCAAGCCCTTCCGTGATTTTCCATTTTTTTCTGAGGAAAAACAAATCCTTACTGTACCCTGCAGAGCCCAGCATGATATCTGCCCCACCCTTCGCCCCTGTGCCTCTTTGACCTCGACTCTTACTCGTTCACTTTGGCCAGCACTGGCCTCCATGCTATTTTTCAAATATGCCAGGCACACCCCCACTGTGGGACACTGCACTATTCCCTCTGCCTAGTATAGTACGTCCCTAAATATGTAAGGCTGGCCCCTTACTTCTTTCTGGTCTTTGCTCAGTGAACTGCCTCTGGCCATCTGATCTAGCTCCCTCCCTGCTCCCTGTTCCCCTTTCCTGCTTTTTATTACTTTTATTGCCATCTCACTTACTACATACGTTTCTTATTTGTCTGTTTTCCTTATTAGTGTGTATACTCCATGAAAGGAGGGATTTTTGTGCGTCCTCTTCGCTGCTAAATCTCTAGCACCTAGAATAGTGCTTGAGACATAGTAGACACTCAATAAATGCTTGTTTAGTGAATGAATTAGTAAGAGACTACCTAGAGAAGATAGTGCTTCACCAAAGGGATGAGTTACATATGGTGGAATTTCAGGCATCAGTAGGAGCTGGATCTTTTAAAAGGGAGCCCTGAATCCACTCCTCTCCTCTGTGGCCAGGAATGGGTATGTGTAAAGACAGGGGTATGGTAGGAAGGTCTGAGCCTGCTTTGAGGATGGTTCACGTGCTTGGGGCTTACCTGCAAGCCACATCTGCCCAGCTGTGGTACTGCTCCTGCTGGAGGATGTCCGCGATCTCAGCCAGGGCCTGGAAGCGCCCCTCCTGGGGCAGGATGCTGGCCTCCAGCATGCCCAACCTCTGCGCTGCCACCTCCACTGTGACCAGGCTGGTAGGCGGGGCTGCGGACTGGTCCAGCACCTTCTCTGTGTCTGTCAGAAAGCTCTCCCGGAGGGCTGCCTTACGCTGGAAGCGCCGGGCCAGGGTTTCCAGCCGCTCTAACTGTAGGAGTCTCTGCTGCAGGGCCTTGCTCCGTGAGGCCTCTGCCCGTTCCAGGCCTGCCCAGCGCTGGGACAGCTCTGCAGGGCCCAGGCCCTGGCGAGGCAGGAAGGGCCTGCGGTTCTGGGCTCGGAGTGCTGTCTGTAGCCGGAAGAGCAGGGCCTCTGCGGCCCCTCGCTGCTGCAGCCTCTGTGGCTTCTCCTTGGTGCGGAAGGAGGCAAAAGCCACCAGTAGCTGGCGCATGGAAGTCAGGGAGTCTGGGAAGTCCTGGGCCTCCAGCTGTACCTGCTTCTTTGCAATCCAACATAGCATGTCGGCCACCAGCTTCTCGTACTGGGCCTGCATTTCCTCTGTCTCCTGGAGCTGAAGCAGGATCTGGAGGAAGGCATGGAAAGGGGTCAGGGCGGCACTTCAGGGCAGCCCTGGAATGGAGGCACTCCCCTTTGGACTCTGAGTGCCTGCAGGGTTGCCCTGGTGGGCAGCAGCTCCTTCCCTTAGCTGAGGATGCACTGAAGTGGGGTTGTCCCAACCCCCAGAGAAGTGGATCTGCCTGCGTTGCACACTCAGACCCAGAAGTGTGGGGCTCCTATCCTGCATTCTTCAATCTTATTTTACCCCATTTGGCCTCACCTCTGGGCGGGAGGGGACGGGGAGTGCTATCCTCTTTCTGAGCCTTCTTTTCCTTCCTTGAGGCCCCCACACCCCTAAAGCAGATCAGAGCCTTTGGCTTGGATTATCTCCCCCATGCTTAACTGAGACACTAACCTTGAGAACAGCCCTCCCAGGCCTCAGCCTCTGCCATCGTGCCCAGAGAGTAAGAGAGCCCCCCAAAAACATGGACTCAGCCCAGCAGAGCTGCTTCTGTGCTTGTCCTTGCAGAGTCTGGCTCTCCGAGCCTTTTAATCCCATTAGGAGCTTAAAAGCCTAAGAGGAAAGGGGGAGTTCGAGGGGGAAGGAGTTGCTCAGCTGGCTTTCCCTGTGTGTCAAGTACTGTGCTGGGCACTTTGCTCATGCTCCCTGAACACTCATCACAGCCTTCTATCACGCAGGCATTAGCATCTCCATTTTGCAGATGGAGCAAAGTAAAGTTAGGTGACACGGCTAAGGCCATACAGCTAGGAAGTGGGAGAGGCAGGCTTCAAACCCAGGTGTGTCTGACTCTGGAGCTCATGCTCACTCTCACGTCTCCTTGATGCCACCTTCTCTTTGTCACCAACCTTAGCGAGTCTCCTCTGGACAGTCTGCTCCTGGTGCAGGCGGGAGAAGTGGTGGTAGTAGAGGGAGATGTAGGTCATGATGGAGCGCTCATCAGGCTGCAGGGCTGCTATGTCCTCGGGGTCCAGCAGCTGAGCAATGCCCAGCTCCTGCTCAGCCACATGGAAAGCAGTGTTGAGGTTGTACAGTGGGCAGTCGGGACGCAGGGAGCTGTAGTCAAGCAGATCTGGCCTGGACAGAGAGCAAGAAGGGCTCTTCACCAGAGTAATTTACTGCTTGGATTTAAGTGGACTTGTTAAAAAGGCAAACAAGCTCCTGTTAGTCATTCATATTTTGCTGTGCATTAGTTTCCCCCTGACGGTTACCTGAGAGCCTGGCTGAAGGAACGGGGCTCTGACAGAGAGGGAAGGGTTACTTTGGCTCAGGGGCCAGGTTCTTGGGTAGGGAGCGCTCCCAAAGGGCAGGCACTTGCCAGGGAGAGAACTGAGAATAGGATCCGGAATGTGAAAAGTAGAGAAAGGCAGCGGTCAGAGGCGAGCTTGGCCAGTTCCAAGGAATTTTCTAGGAAAGAGGGGAGGGGGTTACCCCCACAGACCAGGGCCTTGGCTGGCAGCCTTCTCTACTTCTGTTTTCAGGGTGCAGGGGCCAGAAGGATGTAGGAGAATGGGCAGGTTGAAGACCTGAGCCCAGGAACAGTTGGCTCAGTGGGTGGAGGCCTCCAGGAAGAAGGCTGGGGCCTCTCCGTCTCACACAGACCTGTGGGCATGGATGAGGGCACCAAAGCCGAGCCCGTCACTCCAGCTGTGGGAGAAGTCGGTGATGTTGACGTTGGCGTAGCAGGCTGTCTTCCGCTGGCACCAGACCAGCAGAGCTTCCTTGGCAGAAAGCAGGGCCGCGTTGGCCCCAAACTCTTCCTGGAAGGGCAAGGCAGAGGGTCACCATTCAGATGGAGTGGCAGCAGAGCCTACGGGCCATGGGAGAGGCAGGATGGGCATGGCTATGATCCTCTCTAGCCCTTCTGCCCTCATGAAGGCTGATTGTCCTTCCAAAGAAGCAGAGAGTCTGAAAGCTATCACCTCAGAGCCAAAACTGGTGACAACAGCAGTAGTAGCCCTTCTGATGGGCTGACCATTGTGCTAACTGACCCTGGGCCACATGGTATTTGAGGCTAGTCATCATCAGACCCAGTCTTGGTCAGTGTGGGCTTTCTGCCAGCCACGCATCGAGCCCATACCAATGGCTCTCCACCCCTCACAGCCCTGTGAGGTAGACAGTATCAGCATTTACATCCTAAGGATGATGAGAGGTGCCATAAGAGAGATTAAGAAGCTGCCCAGTGTCCTCCAGTTGATTGGGGATGGTCTCAGTTGACCCAGGAACTTCTGACAGGGAGCCCACCTCTGATGTATGAGCCACCTGTCTACCACCTTGATGCCGCATGCAGCTGCCTGAGGGCAGAGCTGGCACTGTTTCTTCGGGCTGGGAAATGACCATCTATACCTGGTTTCAATCCCCTCCCACCCCTGCCTGTTCTTCTTGTTGATACTTTCCTTTATTCTGCCACTCACTAGTCAATGACTTGTCCCAGATCAGCTTTGAAGCCCATGAATCTAGTTCTCACTTCAGCAGAATACAATCTCTCTGACATTCTCAGTTCTTTGCCCGTGGTTAAAGAGTGAATATAAATTGTGTGGGTGCCAAGATTCTGCTGTGGGGATAACAGTTGGGTGAAATTGCTCTGTCTCCAGGGACCAGAGGTGAAGCCAGGGGTGGGCTGGGTAACTTGGCAGTGGGGGGTGAGTGAGATACCCGGTCCAGGGAGATATGGGAAATCTGGAAACGCAGGATGATGACCCAGATGAGTCCCAGGATGAGCGTCTGGTCTCCATCTACGATGTTCTCTGGCCCAATGAGAGGGATTGGTACCTGCGGGCACAGGTGGCTGGGTTCAGTGTGAAGCCCGTGCACCAGAGAAGATGCAGAGTAACCACAAGTAACCTGGTGGGAGGGGGTGTATCCCGGGTAGCTTCTGTGGGTATGCTTTTCTTATATTTGCCTGGTCTCTAAAGGATCCACCCATTCTCTGCCCTCTTCTCCTGGCACACCTGAGCTTGGAGTTGGAGCGTCTGGTTGGTGGGGGATTTGTTTGCTCATACCAGCTCATGAGGGCTGATCTTCCCAACTTTGTGTTAGTGGCATCATGCTGGTAGCTTGAAATCAGCCAGGGTGGAGGTATCAAGGCTATAGAAATCAGCAAACGCTACAAACCAGGGCTTTTATTTTCCCTCATAGAGCTGGTTATTAACATTTACCAGCACACCACTGATCTGGGTTTAACTCAACTGTCTTCCTTGAAACTCTAGGCCCCTGTGGTCAGGTCTGGGCTTTGCTTACCGAAGTCCCCAGAGCCTGGCATAAAGCTTCCAGCACATGACATTCTCCAGAAATGAGTGTATCCCACATTCTGCTACTTATTAACTGTGCATTGGGGCAACTCCTTTGTTTTTGCTGCCTCGATGTACAGTAGAGACAAGGCTGTCACTTTCACAGGCTACGTATAAGTAACATGCTGTGTATCTAAGCTTGAGGGGCCCCTGACAAGAGCCATGGTCTTGCGCCCTTCCCAAGTTCCCCAAGGGGAGGTGCCTGGCTCACAGGCCGTTGCCCAGGGGTCCAAGTAAGGCCTGATATCTTGTGGCTGGAAGCTTTCTGCTCTTCTGTATGCTCAGGTCCCTTGCTTTGGCATTTTACCTCCCTGGTCTCCCTTCAGCATGCCAGGCTCCCAGGGAGCTGACTGTGACCTCCAATCCAGAACATAAGTGACGGACACACATACTCAGTCTCAGTCCAGCCAGTTCCATTTTAGTGACTTTGCAGCCTCCCAGACAGCCACCTCTCAGCTTTAGTATCTGAGGTCGAGAGCCTTTGGGCTTCCTAATTCCTGCTTCTCAGCATAAATGACCCCTGCACAGCCCTCTGACACTGGCCGTCAATGTCCTGCTGTGTTCCTGGAACTCTTGGTTCCCCTTTAGTGACTCTTTCTTTGGCCTTTCAGGGTTTCTTCTGTTTGCTGAGGCCCCTCCCTGCTATCCAGTCCAGCTTCTCCAAGGTCTTCAGACAGTCCCTGAACCTCTCCCCTCCACTGCCTGGTTCAGTGTCTGGGGCTCTTCCCCTGTGTCCTACCCTTGGCCAGCCTCCCATGGCTCCATACCCAGGCTCTGCTGGGCAGCTGACCCTGGGTCGTGTCTGATAAAATTTCCTTGTTTATAAAAAGAGACAGTTAAGAGTACCTTAAATCTTTCAGCTTAGAATTCTGTGATTTTCTCTTTACCGTCAGTGGCATATTTTAGTCCCAACCACTAGGGATGATGGCTGTTCCTGCTCCAGCCGGTTGGGTGCTCTCTAAGCGGGGAGTACTGTGGCCAGGAAGGGCTTTGCTTCCTGGTCTTCTGTATCCCCAGCTGCTTCTCCTGGATTCAGGCTCCAGAGCCTCTGCTCTGCCCTGTGGCCAGCCCAGGAGAGATGATCTAAGAGTTCAGCCTGTCCCCTCTGCCCGCCCAGCACCATGCCCAGAAGCCCTTCCCCCAGTGCCCACCTTGGCCCTGAGGAAGGCCAGCGCCCGGCTGTTGTTCTCCAGGAAGTGCACACGCATGCGGCCCCGGCTGGGGGGTGGCAGGGCCTCCCCAGAGATGAGCTCCAGTAGCCTCAGTAGGTGGGTGCCGTCTGCCAGCTCTGTGTACAGGTTCTGGATCTTGAGGCCCACCTGGGAGGGGATGAGGGAAGACACAGGGTCAGCCCAACCTCACCTGTCTGCCCCGTCCCAGGCCCTGGAAGGCACAGGCCAGAGCAGCTGCCTCGAGGAAGGAGCATTGGCCTCAGCTGTGCTGTGGGTGGGGTCTTGAGAAGCCTCAGCCAGATGACCTCCTAGCCAGCCTCCCAAATCCACTGGCCAGGGAGTTGGCAGGATGGTAGAGGTGGGCTGTGGGGCGCGCCCAGCTGCACTCACTCGGCCGTGTTGGAAGATGTTGTTGATCCAGTTGGTGAAAGTCTTCTCCTGCATCCGCACGTGCTGTACCTGCAGCTTCCGAATGTGGCCCATCTCATATGCAGAGTCCATGGCCAGACTGAGCTGGGAGATCCGTCCCAGGGCTCTGTGGCTGGCCTTCTGCTTCAGGAGTCCTGTAGCCCCAAGGAACTACTGGGAATTGTGGGGCTGGCCAGCCATCAGGCCTGGACCTCTTTGGGGATGAGGGGCCAGTGGACATTTCCCAACCCGGAGATGTTGGGGTCATGGAGGCTGAGGGATGTGTGTGGGTATAAAGACTCCCTGAGACCGGTGTGCCTTTGCCAGGGGTAAGGGGCCCCTCCCTGCCAGACTGTCCCCACATTTGGTGGTGGTGGTGGGGTTGTGGCTTGGAACCTAGCCAGGTAAGGTTCTGGCTGATACCCTGTGTTTGAATGGCCCAGGGCCCCTTTTGCCCCACCCTACCTTCCAGATTATTCTTCTTAGAGCTCTGCTACCAAAGGTCTCCCCTGGGTCACAGTGATTGGCTGCTGCTTCTTGGGATAAATAGGGTGGGTGGGAGGAAAACAGGAAACTGCTCACCTTGACCTGTCTGAGCCCAGGGAGGAGACAAGGCTGGCTGGCTGGCTGGCTGGAGATGGAAGGTAGCAGGGGCTGTGTGAGGAGGGAGAGAGCCATCAAGAGAGGCTGAGGCTGGAGCTGGGGCCATGCCATGGCCCTCCTCTTAAATCAGCGGGACAGTGGTGGCAGCACACAACAGAACAGCCATTATCCTCCCACCTGCCTCAGGGCGTGGCCTAAGCTGGGAGGGGGCGGCTCAAGAATGCTCCAGACCATTGGTCCAGGATCTCCTCCTTTATTGTCTCCACTGAAAATGCCCCCAGCATCAGGTGGGGGTCTTGGCTCCCATGGGTGGCCTCGAATTGGCTCGCTGTGGGAGACCTTGGGGGTGCTGCAGTCTGAGTAAAGGCACCAGAGGACAGAGCCTCTGGTCAGAAGCTCTTTCCAGTTGGGGACTGCTCTTCTGCACCCCACAAGGTCTCTTTGGGAGCACCCACAGGGGTGGGGATGGGAGGGAGCATGCTGGGCCAGAGCCCTCTCCTCTCCCCTCCTGGGGAATTATCAGACCCTGGCTTCGGCTTTCCAGCCCCAACAGAAATGCACCCAATCTAGCCCAGGGCTGACCAGTGCTCCCTCACACCCAGGGCTCCTTTTTGAATGAGGCTTCCTTTGGAAGGGGTAACCTGGACCTGCAAAGGCCATGAAAATGACAGTGACTCCTTCAAAGCCAGGGGCACAGTGTTCACTGTTTGGGCTCCATGGTGGGGCCCCAGCACCTGTGCACCCACGGAGCTGGCCCAGCAGGGCTTGGAGGCAGGGGCTTCGGTGGGAGCCTGCCGCTCCTCCCTCCTTCCCTGAGCAGCCTTGGACAGCACGCCGGAGGGAGAGTGAATTCTAATTCAGGTGGTTTGCAGAACAGTCTGGCTAAACTCTGGGTAACAGTCCTCGAGCTGGGGTGTATGTCTGTGGGTTCATCCATCCAGCAGCCCTGGAGGCTCTGGAAAGAGACACAACATTTCTCAGGGAGGTGTCCCTGACAGCTAAGGCTGGCCAAGGGAGCAGCGGCCACAGCCTGCTCCTGAGAGCTGGGGAGGATCGAGCATACCTGATCCAGGCCGGCAGTGGCTGGGGGTGAGCTGCTCCTGGGGTGGGGCAGCTACCCTGTGTCTGAGAGCTTCCCACCCTGTCGTACGAGGTCCCTCCTGCCACTGACTGGTTTCTCGATGCCTCGGCCCAGAGCCTGTCAGTCACGAACAGCTACTGTTGTGTGCCCCCAGCACTCCACTGTCCACCCTCCCACCCCACATCCTCTCACTGTCCCTGCAGGTTCTCATCACCAATCCCCAACCCATCATCCTACCTGCACGTCGGCCTTTGCGTGGCCCCCTGATTTACTTCCCAGAGCACATCTCCGCTCACGCCTATGGAGACTCCGCATTGCCTGGACAGAAACAAAGCTCTCCTGCCCATGTCCAGACTTCAGCTGTTCTCTCGGCTTAGAATGTCCCTTCTATTCTCTATTGTCCCCATTCTCCTATCAGCCCCAGTTGAAATCCTGCTCTGTCTAGAAAGCCCCCCACCCCTATCTTGTTTCTCCTCCTATTAAGACCCTTGGCCTAGGGCACCTGTGTGATGTGATCACCTGAAAACAGGATGGAGCTACATGAGGCTTTGTACACAGAACTCAGCAGAGGCTGTTGTATCTGAGGTTGAGTGGGGCTGGGGAACTGCTGTTCTTCCTCCTAAGCTCAACTGCAGCTAAAGCCACTGCGTAGGCTCTGAGCACTGGCTCTTTTTGCAGTGACTGCAGCCTCTACTGCAATGAAAATCTCTGTTGGTCAGTACATACTTTTGGGTTATTTAAGTTGCAAGTAACTGAAATTTCAAGTCAAATAGATTTAAACACTATAAAGGGGATATACTGTCCCGCATAATTGAAAGGTCTGGCAGGAGGGAGACTTTAGGCGAGGTTTGATCCAGCAGCTTAAACGATACCACCACAGGCCCAAACTCCCTCTGCCTTTCTCAATGCCTCCTTCATCTTCATGCTCCACAGGGTGATTGCTATCAGCCTAACATCGCTCCCCTACCCCCAGCTGCTCTGGGCATCGTCTCAATGCCGTTTATATTATTGCATCAACAGGCTCACTTCTAGACATTGCGTGGTTCAGAGGAGAGAACATTTCTCCCAAGAGATGAAACAGAAATATGAGAGGCCTGGCTCTCATAGGCTTCAATTGAACCACATGGCCATTCCTGAACCAATTTCTGAGATCAGGGGGATAATATACTCTAACTGGCTTAAACCAATTAGGACCCACCCTGGAGTGAGGGTCAATCTCACCCAAACTTTGTAATTCAGATTAGGGTTGGTAAGTGGGGAGCGCTCTGCAAAAGAAATTCCTGGTCTGGATCGTCAGAAGGGTAGATGGGTGCCAGTGGGAAAAACCCAGATGTCGGCTATGGGTGGTCTACACCTGTAAGGTGTGTCAGGAGGCAGGAGCAGTGCCAGCCAGTTAGGGCTCCACCCTGGCTCCACTGCACCTTCAAGTGCATGAAGAGAGAACATTGTGCCCAGTGATGCCCGGTTCTAGCCTCTGAATGGCCCTTCTCCATGGTCCCTTCGTCTTGGCTTCCAGTCACTCTTGGGGCTTCAGCCTCCATCAGGGCCTGCTCCCAGACCTGGCCTCTGCCCCAGCGGATGGAGCCGTTTTTCTTCTAATGGAGCTCCATTTTGGGAATGTCCCACTCGGAGAGAACGCAAAAAGTCGGAGGTCACAGGGATGGTGTACAGAGGGGCACCCCACCCCCTAACACCTCTGCCTTGTTTCAGGATAGATGTCAGGGATCCCACTTCACTCCTGAGACAGCTACATGCAGTCCCTGGACAACCAGAGCCAGTAGAGTGATTTTTTCAGAAGTTTATTGATCAATAGACTGTGTCTTTTTTTTGTTTGACACTTCTAAACAAACTTACAAAAAAAATAGAAGCACTGTGTATTAACGGCATTGGCTAATTGACATATAACCTGATACACTCTTAATTAGGCTGTTTACCTGAATAAACTCAGTGGTTATCTGTCCTAAGGTTGTTTTTTTGTCACATTCCATGGAGGAAATTGACAGTGCCTCTGTTAAGTGCTCTGTTTATCTTCAAGGCGATTCGTCTGGGGTATTATTGCTCTGGGCGTAATGAAGGAGTATATTTGTGCAAAGGGGAAAGGTGCAGGTACTGGCTGTCAGGCATGATTCTGGTGGCTAAGCCCCACCCTGGGCAGTGGACCCCAGTACAGGACATTCTCAGTGTGTTGTTAGGAGATGCGGGGCACCAGAAGGGACTGTGGTCCGGGATGGTAGGGCCAGGGCTGGGGCCAGGGCTCTGCTGAGGCCTCTCCTGCAGGCTGGTAAGGAGGGGGACGTGTTTGGGGGTAAAGTAGGTATAATTTTGCTTCTCTTCACACACTCTCTGACCCACCTGGACACCCAGTCCCATGATATAGAATAAGAATTCAATTCCTCAAGGCCTAACATCCTGTGGGAGGAAGCATAGCCCCAAGTCCAAAGACGCCATTGCTGCATAACGACGAGTGTTCCAAAGAGAACCCAGTCCAGCCCTGGAGAAGGAAAAGCCAACTGAATGAATGGCCCTCCCCAAGGAAGTGACCCCGCCCTCTGTCATGCACGTGTGCAAGAAAAAAACCGACGTGTAAGGCTGGGCTGGAGCATGAGGCCAAAGCAGGTTAGACATCTACAGGTGGCCAGGAGCTGGGGAGTTTCGGCAGGTCTTAGATGGGTTTAAGAGGGTCTCATTAGCAGGCTTACAACTGGGAAGTCAACTTTGGGAGGAGTAGGTTGAAGTTTTCATTTTCTTCCCCTAAACTCAACATTGCAGAAGGTTGTGTTATGTATCATGTGTCGTGTAGAAATTAGATTCAAGATTCTTAGGTTTTCTTCTGTGGAATCATGGAGAACATGGGGATAGTTTCTCAGTGCTAGTTTACCGACTTCCACCCTCCCACCCATTTGTAAACACTCTGGGGAGGGGGTACTTTTAAAATCAGGGTGGTGTGGGAAGGGCAATAAGGTCAAGGCAAACAGATCTTAAAAGACTGCTCTTCTGCCATCCTGATGGGTGGGGGTGGGAATAATGAGTAATTTGGATAGAGTCAAGGAACTTTGTGTGGGTCCCCGGAAGATATGGGTTTTCACTTGGCCACCATCCATAATACTTTCGTGTTTTTCTTTCCAATCAACTCTGATGACTTCATGTTGTAAAAGAAAATATTACGAAAAATGGACATGAGATTTCTTTTTTTTTCTCAGTAAGGAAAGGATCCAGCTGTCAGATGTTATCCCACCTGAGGGCATGGGGGAGCGGGGCGGACATTTCCTTCCACCTGGAAACCAGAAATCTGTTGGTCTTCTAAAACAGTTTTCCTGTATGTCTTTACATGGACAAAACATGCCCATAGTTACATACATACGCGTTGACAAGTGTCAAAAATAATACTCATGTGACATATGTGTATATATTTATCTTTATATATGTATGATAATCAAGCAGAGTTAAAGAAGAAAGATGTTTCTGAAGGGAAAATCAGCTAACTTTGGCATATCCAAATCTATGGGCAAATGAACTCTCTCTTTTGTCTCAATTTTGCCTTTTGGTGGATTCCACTGTGTTTAGACTCTTAGGAAGTCCTACGCATTCACAGAACTATCTGCTCATATTACAGTACTGGAATTATAAACGTCTCTTTTCTTTGTGTCTAATTTAAAAGGGCTCATTAAGACTAAAAACCATATTCTGCATTTACTTCTCTTAAAACTAAATTATTTAGGAAGTTAGCTAGGGAGTGTGAGGGCTGGCATCTGGATATATGCTTTTCTAAGGTAAAAAATTTCTCTTAAGTCTACAGTTCCGACCCTGATGTCAAAGGTGTCAAGAGAAAAAAAAAGTGTTTTTTGAAAAGCTCAGGTGGGACTGTTCTGATTTCGTTGATTTCTGGTGCTGGCAGGGCCCCATGTCATGCAACCATCACTATCTCATGTCTGTCTTCTTCTATTGCATAACTAATGGTGAAAGGCACTGCATCCCGGAGCTGGAGCCCACATAGCAGGGAGGGTGGCAGTGAGCATTAACCACCTCCACCTGATGCAGGCATCTGAGTGCGTGGTCCAGAGGGGTTGACACGGGGGACCTGGGAGAGAACCAGGGAGCCGATGTACAGGGATGTGCCCATACCTCATGACAGGCAGTCATGATATGAACCACAAAGCCTTTCGAAGAAAAGGTTTTATATGAAAGTTTCCATCCTGTTTCTGTATAAAGGCTTTTATCCTGAAGAAAAAAAAGTGGACTATTTTATAGTAAAAATGCCTATTTTTAAAAAATAAAAAGTGTCTAAACTAGTTGACTATTCTTTCCTATCTGATAGCTTAGGGCAGGCTGGCCTCTCATTCCCCTTTGTGTCCACAGGCCCAGGACGCTGCATGCACCAAGATATGTTTTTGCTGAGTTTAAGTTCTGCCATCGACCGAGGAGCCTTGGGGACATGTAACCACACTAAACTGATGACTGGGGAGAACCACCCCTTTTCCTTACTGTAGTTTAAGTACGATAAATAGACTTTGCTATAAATTTTTGGATAGACCAGTAAGAAAAGCTACTCTTTAGACTTCAGCATGATTTAAACACTGGAAATCTTACCAGGGGATTAATAAAGGTTATACATTCAAATTCCTAACCAAATACAACTTTGCTGGGAAGGCCAGTCAGTGGGGTGCTGGGACAGACGCTCTCTTTGGCCTGGCTGCCTCTTCTGCTCGGCTAGAGTCTGCAGAAGGGACAGGGCGCACACAGACACTGTCCATCCTTCTTTCAAACCTCGGGCAACAGCTGCCTTCTCTTTGGTAGACAGTTTGGAGAGAAAAGAAACTCTCTCTGATCTATTTTTTTTTCCACTCTAAGTATAGCAGGAAACAAAATAAATAAGATCATCTTTGCTCCCTCCCGGTGCCCTCTGAGGCACAGATAGGTTCATAATGATGAGTGGTCCAGGGAAGCCCAGCAGACTCATGCTCCAGCAGTGCCCCTAGCTCACACCCCGTGCTCCTGGGACTCCACCAAGCCCACCTCCACACCTGCGTCTCTCTAGGCTTCTGAGTACTCTTTGGTCAATTTCTCTTCAACCCTACAATCTCTTTATCTACTCCCTCCCCCCAATATTTTAATAGAAACTCAGGGAATTTTAGAGGTGAAAGGACCATATCTAGTGTCCACTGTCTGCCCTCCCCATTCTACAGATGAGGAAACTGAGGCACAGAGAAGGCAGTGCCTTGCCCAGGGTCACTCAGTGAGTCACTGGCAGCATGGGTCTCAGGCTCAGGTCCCCCGATTCCCACCCCATACTGCCTGCCCTGTGGGAGGCCTGCCCCTCAGTCAGCCTTCTGCAGGGACTTCCTGTGAGAGGGGGGTACGAGGTGGGGGGGCAGGTTGTTGGGCAGCTCGTAGCCGTCCAGCTTGATCTTGATGAGGTGTTTGGCCAGGGCAAACTCCTCCTCGTCCAGCATGCCGTCGCAGTCACAGTCGGCCAGTTTCCAGATCTTGCCCAGGACGCTGTTGGGCAGCTTTGAGGTCACCATCTCCTTCTTGGCGTTGACGCCCGATATCTTGCCATTGACAGGAGACAAGGTGTAAAAGAGCTCGTCATAGACGGGCTTGTCTTTGGCCACAACCCATTCCTCCTCGTCGGCGCCCTCCTTGGCGCCCTCCCCGTAGCCCTGGTTGAAGGGGCCCTCAGCAGTGCCATCGAAGGCACCACCCTGCACGATCTGCGTGGGCATGCTCAGCTCCTCCTGGCTGATGAGGCTCATCAGGGATGAGATCTTGCTGGTCAGCATGTTATCCACAGCCTCGATCAGCTTGGGCTTCAGCGAGTGGAATTTGGTGAAGTCATAGTTCTCAAGCTGTTCCTGTAGAAGGAGAAACCACATACTTGGTCACATGCCTCTCTTCAGGAAGCAAACAGGGAGAGGGATGGCTGAGGGAAGCGAATGCTCCCTTAGAGCAGACATTCCACCCCCGTGGGCTGTTCGGGGCTCTCTTTGGTGGGGTCCCCATATCTGAACTCCACAGAGACAAGAGTGGCTTTTGGAACAAGAAACAAGATGCAATGTTTTGCTGTAGCGAACGTCTGCTGGTGGCCATATGAATGACAGCGATCCGCTAGGGCATTGAGACAAACTCCGTCTTGCCTTTTTCTTTTCTTTTTTTTAGTGCTCTAGAGATTTCATATTTTATCTTTTAAGGTGATTTTACGACACATCTCAGTCTTCACAACAATGCTGGGAGTAAGGAAGGACAGGCATTAATAACCGTGTTTTATACAGAGCACATGAGTGTCTTGGTAGAGTCTAGACTAGAGCCTATGCCTCTTGCCTCTTGACTAGTCCTCCTTGTGCTGGAACACAAAGCTGTGACAGAGGGACTTATTTAGGTAAAATAATTATTTAAGAACGCTGTTTTTGGATCAATTTTTTAAAGTGTAATTTCGAGTACAAATAAGTAAAAGTTGAAACTGGTAAGGGAGTGGAGTAGGAAGGGGGAAGGTGAGAATAAATCCAGCCAATAGGGCTGAGTGTACTCGTCAGGTCAGTCAGTGCAGGTCTCTGTCCCAGGAGAACTGGCTATCAGCAGATGGAGCAGCAGAAGCACAGGCTCCACAGAGACAAGGCAATTTCCGGGCCAGGACAGGAGCCTACTATAGATGCCACAGAGGCTCTGAAAATGGCTCTGTAGAAATAGTTCTTTCTTCCCTTGGTTCTCCTAGGTTACTCATCCATCATCCATCCATCCATCCATCCATCCATCCATCCATCCATCCATCCATCCAACATTTATTGGCCATTTGTTATGTGCCAGGCCCTATTCTGGGGCCTGGGAATATAAACAGAAAAAGCCACAGTCTGGACCCTCAGGTGGTTTATGTTGTAACTGAGGAAGGACACTATAGTTTTCTAGTTACTGTCTACTTTCAAAAAGGGCTTGACTTAGCTTATAGTGAAAACATTAACGCGAAACTGAAGTCATTAGAAAGCGAAAAGCCAAGTAATTAAAAGGGAGAGAAAGGGAATCATCACATCAGGCAACTAAGGTGAGAAGAAGCATTGCTCCTCAGCTGCCCCAGTCAAGGTGGGGATCACACCCTTTATTGTCTGAAGGAAGAAACTGCCTACTCATCTAAGAGACAAACTTTCTCTGGCCCTGAATTGTGAGATTACCTGGGGCTTTTTATGAGGGGCCTCAAAGATCTAGGAAAAACAACTTCAACAGCTGTTTTGTCAAATAAAAGCAGAAAATGCCTGGTATGGCAGTTTTTATATGGACTCTAGGTGAGGTATTTCTGCTAGGAAAATTCTAGAGAGCCAGGTATACAATTTTTGAGAGATAAAGCAGAGAGACTCTTGAGGAAAAGAAGTTTCACTTACCCCTCAGATATGACTTTTCAGGCAGAAATAATGTGACAGGCAGTTAGAAAAAATTAAAACTTTGTGCTATTATAAATATATTTTTATTGTAAAAATGTTGGGAAAAAACTGGTAAATAAAAATAAAAATTTAAATTACTTATAATCTCATTACGCAAAAATAACCTGCTAATATTTTGGGGCATACATTTCTAGCCATTTTTATACACACACACACATACACACACACACACACACACACAAACTGAAACAAGACCACACTCACGGTTTAACAACTGCATTTTAAAGGAATAATGTATTATATCTTTCCATGTTATTAACTTTTATACCTTATTTTTTGTTTTTAGTGACTTTCCCAAACTATTTTTTTGCAAAGACTGTATTCACTGAAATCTCTGTTCCTTAATTTGTGTTCAGCTAGTGTTTTGACAGAGATGTCTTTGAATGTCAGAACTAAAACAAAAACCAAACTCTAAGACCAAAGAACAAACAAAAAACCCACGTCCCCATCTTTGTAGAATTGCTCTGTTCTAGGGCAGTTCTTCCATACTTGGCCAGGCTTGCACTGAACCTGGGAATCATCCTCATATGCAACCTATTCTTAATAGCTACACAATACTGAATTTATAGCTGGGCCATTCATCATTTACCCTGTCCCATGTAGTTGGATATTTAGGTTATTTCCAATGGAGAATTAAAATTGTGGTCTGTAGGGTATACTGTCAGCGCAGCTATTCTATGCTATTATTTGGAAATGGAGCCCTGAGCTTTAGATGGTGGAAGGGACAAAGTTGAATGCTGAACAGCCTGACATATCTCTACAGAGGCACCTCCAGCACCCTTCTCAGTAGTAAACTCTGCAGCTGTCACATTTCATTGGGCTGAGATTACACCCAGTGTTCAGTCTGCACTCGGCTTAGAGCAGCGGGGCAGTGCAGGTTTCTAAAACGCATTCTGGCTAGCGTGTCCTCCATCCTCATGGACAGACCACAGTCACCTGCATCCCACCCTAACATCAGCACCAAACAATGCTGCTAACTCTTTGGGCTCCTGCTGCCAACTTCTCAGTCAGCCAAAGGGACTGAGACTAGAAAGCCCAGGGGGAGGAGAGCAGGCAGCCTACACAAAAATCTGAGTGCTGCTGGGATAAACAAGTCTGGATTCCCCTGGGTGCACAAACACCTACCCCATTTCCTCATGAATGAGCCTGAGCTCTGAGCACACACAGAGCCTCTGTGTCTGGCCAAGTGGACGAATGAAGGGCGGTGCCCACCCCAAATTTTCACCCTCTGAATCAGGGGGACATGGATTCAGATCGCAAACCTCTGGGAAGCTGGGAAGGGAAATGGCCACATATTTGCAGGAAGCAGCAGCAGCAGCCATTCCTACCCCAAAAGGTACATAGGAAATAAATCCTATACTCCCATCCCTGTGGTACCTCCCCGTCCCCGGCCTGATCACGAAGTACAGGGTACGAATTAAACCACCTCCATCCCTGCCCTCCACCAGGGTAGCTCCAAAACAAATCTTTTTAATGGGACGAATATGTCCTTGGGAGTTTAAAGATTTACCCATCAACAATTGTATCCATCAAAGCCACCAAGCCAGGGATCCTGGAACTGCTTTCTCCAAGACACAAAGGTCAGTTCCAGTCTCTGCAGGGCTTGCCCATTCACTCCCAGCATTCACCAGTTTTCAAATCCTCGGGGTCTGAGCAGATGGGGATGGCTCTGGTGCCCTCTGCTGTTGAAATGCTGCCAACTCATCAGCTACGGGGACCAAATTCTCCGAGTCAGCAATAGAAGTGGCCTTGCCAGTGTTCTCCCCCTTTTCCACATCAGTGTGGTAAATCAGATTCCCTCCTGAAAGGGTGCAAGGCAGACACAGGCAGCTTCACCAGGAGGTCACGGGCCTCTCCTAGCACTGGGCAAAAGCCTTCGAAATACACTCAGCTTACTGTTACAGCTAAGAGTCAGCTGGACCAGCTTGGTCCATGAGAGCACGGAGAAAAGAGATTTAAAGATTGCATTGGTGAGCTCTCTGAGTGACCCTGAGATGTGCCAAGATCACAATAAAGTCATTGCCGAGCCTTTACATTGCCAGCCCCTGTCTCAGACACAGTCAATGTGAAGTTGACCATCTGTGTTGGAGAAGGTGGCAGACACTCAGCAGACTCAGTGTCAGAGGCCCTGACCCACACCATGAACCCCCCAAAGCTTCCTGGGTGACAGCAAACTAGCTTAAAGTATTGGGTGACTGTAAACATACCTTACAGGCTCTAGGCCTGCCTCGCTCTCTGGGGAGTCCCTGGGGGTCGTGTGATCAGGGCTGTCTTCCAGTTTCCAGGGGTTTGCTCTGGTAACTGCTGGTCTATGAGCCCTGTGAGAGTCAGGGCTGGGCCTGGGTCTGAGATCCTCACTATCCTAGAGGCTGCTATAATATAAATGTGAACGGGAAAGAGGGGCTATGTAGCAAACCTGACAAGCTCAGTGACCGAGAGTACCCACACAGAACAGTCTGATCTCAAATTCCTAACTGGGCAGGTCGTGGTGGGTAGTCCTATTCTGGGCCTATAGATTCATTAATAAAAGGTTAATCTTTGCCTTAATCGAGCCCTGTCCATTGTTTTCGTGTATCTAAGATAACATACTCTTGGAATGTCAGTTAACTATCTTTTCTAGACCCCTTAGACGGGCATAACCATGCCATCTCTATTTTCTATAAATGTGAAATGTTAACTGCCCTGTACGTACCAATGTAAAACAAGTATGTATCTCTCCGTTTTACTTTTTATGTAATCCTAGAGATTTCTCCCCTTTGCTTTCTCACCTCCTTAATCTACCACCAATGGATTTCATGTAGCCTTCCTCGTGTTTTCTCCTTTGATTCTAAATGTATAAAAAGAACTGCAAAACTCACTCCCCAGAGCATTTTCTCAATCCTTTAAGATTTTGCTTCTGGGCTGGTCCTCAGTTTTTTGGCTCAAATAAACTCTTATAAAATTTTTCTATAGGTTTGGACTTCCATTGACGTGAACATGCACCAACTTGCCGATGAACTCATTCAACAGATATTCATTGAGTACTTGCTTCATCCCAGGTGCTGGAGATAGGGCAGTGAACCGGACATGGGTCACTGGCCTCATGGACTTACAGCCTTAAGAGGGAGACCCTGAAACCAGGCCAAAAGTTGCCCAATGCCAACCTTTAAGCAACATCCTCAGTGAGGACTTCTTGCTTTATCCAGTGAAGTCTAGCTATGTCTACAGAGCCTATGCCTCTGACTAGGCCCTTGCGTCTGCACCAGCAACGTTGCCTGAGCACATAATCCCACAGCACAGGGCAGTGCCAGGCAGGGCCGGCTTGAGGAGGCTACCTGGGTGACCGCCAAGGTCACCCCCAGCTCTAATTCTCTTATGATTCTGGGATTCCAAAAAACAGGTGTCACCTCAACCTTGTCAAAACGACCTTGAACACAGCCTGAGAGGGTCACTCATATGATTTTCTCATGTGAGCTTAACTGACTTCTTGAAATGTATCCCCTTTTGTTTAAATGTTTCAGGAGGCAGGCAACTTCTACTTTATTCACAGGAGGCTATTATCACAGACCGCCATTAGGAAGATGAATTCATTGCATTCTGCTCCATCCTAAACCATGAAACCTACATGTGTACCCAGTAACCAGCTGGGCAAGGTGGCAGTGCCTCTCCATCCCTCGCTCATGACGTTGTAACGGGTGCCCAGTACCTGCATTGCCTTGACCTCCGGGAAGTCCCCTGCAGAAATCTGGTATTCTCGCTGCAGCTGAATGTAGATTTCTGGCAACCTGCTGATAAGCTCTCTCTTCTTGTTGTCCTTTCCAAATACACTCGGCATCTCCTTCTTCAGGTAGCTGATGATGTAGGCATGTACCTGCAGGGGTATATGTGAGGATGGGCTATTTAGAAGTGCACCAGAAGGACAGACACGATGGCATCTTATATGTGTCACAACGCACAACGGGCACCTACACAGAGCCATGG